AGCGGGTACACCTTAGATAGTCAAAAAAGTTCCACATGAGATGAAACTACTCATAAATACTTTGACATCAACATGCGCCGGGCTCCGTCTATAGACTTCATGGCTGATTCTTCTACTTTCTCCATGTAACGACATCGACAGTCTACTCTGCCATAATTCTTCTCCAAATCGGGCACTAGAGATTTGATATGCTTCACCGGATCTTGGAGCAGGAAAATATCGAAGTCCAGCCACAGCACGTCGATATGCATCGACAGCAAGACGGGGATCCAGCGATGCTTGTTGTATATGACATGTCCCTGTTGACTGTCGAGACACAGCAACGTCTTATACGGATCTTCCGCTTGGTTATTCATCGTTGTTGTGAATCGCGCTTTTTCCTGACGACATGCTGCTACGCCTTGTTTTAGAGAGTCGCACAATGACTCAACACTTGTTCCACGTAAGCACTGACGCTGTTGTGCGATTATTCAATGCATAGTTTTCCAAAAAGAAAAATGAGAAAATCAAAAAGAAAAGCCCCTAAATCCATGGTAGGAATCCATGCATCATCAACAAAACTCTTCTCCTAATAATAAATGATAATAATCAACAAAACTCTTAACTCCTCGTCCAGTCCGGCTAAGATCAACCCCTTGAGACCCAACTCAAGGAAGAAACGGCGAATGAAACCAGGCACATAGGGCTGCATCATCTTGCCGCCCACTGCTGACAGGTAAATGTGCGGATTTTCGGAGCTGTCGCTTGAGGCAGTAGACGACCAAGAGCCTGAGATTAGAGACATCCATATCACGTGTCAATCTTCAAAGAGTCATCGTTATGGAAGCGAACGCATATGGTGGAACTCGAAGCAACATCCGAACATCTATGATGGAAGCAACAACACCAACAAAGGCCATAGGAGTATACTCGACGGAGCCGCAGTCCTCTCTGCCGCCATGGGAAAGAAATGGTCGGCTAGCCACGCATAGAGCTCTTGGTTCTGGACCAAAGCAGGTAAGAACCTGTCGCTGGTCGCGTCATGTGCAATTAGAGATCAGATGTAACGATATCCTCCGTAGTGTAGACAAAATAGAGACCGTTCTTGTTGATTCTGCTGTCGGAAAAAGCTGAATTCTGGCTGTGCCTCTCGTGTAAATTGGAGCTAGTACCTTCAACGAACTGTAAAAACGGAAGAACAAAATATTTCCACTTCGTACTACGTACACGTCAAACACCTTAGCTGAACTACCGACCCCATCTCTGCCCGTGCACGCACTTTCGCAATGATTTTCGCCCTGTCGGTTTTCGCGGCTTCAAATTCCGCTTCTGTTGCAAGCAAGTCGACTCTTTGAAGAGACCTACTCTGTGCTACCGTTTCTGCTGTAGAACTAGAGGCAGCGGAAGATGATACTAGGTTTACCCATGTAAAGCCTCGCGCTGTGTCGGTCATCATTAGAGATCGTGTATCAAGGTAGCGACAAGCACATAAGCAACATATTAGACACTCGAGGGCAGTCAGTGGCAGCATGATGATGTGAATCTATTCGGCAAACTGCCTAAGATTGCCTAGTCAGTGTCAACATAAGTAGTACAACAAGTGCTTATACTGATTCAAACACCTCGCGAACCCGAGCTCCTTTCATAACACGCTCCCCCTGACATCCTCGACTCCAACTTTACCTCCTGCATCCACTTCTGCTTTTCCCTCTCCTTGAGCACTCTTCTGTGTCGTTGCCATCGTCGATGGAGACAAAATAATCGCGTGCTCCGCTTTGTGGCCCTGTCCCAAATCAGGTCGCTCTTCCATACGTGGCTCGGGTAGTAGGTAACCTTGTCCTTCAGTCACAACTCGCCAACTCGGTAGCATTCCACTGTACAGGATTGCTGAGGAGTTGCTGTTTCCTCCCGTTATTCAATCTTTAGAAGGAAAAACCATGAGCGGAATACTGCCTCTCCGACAGGACCAGCACTAATGAGCTAGTTCTAAAAATTGAATAACGGGAGTAGAGGTTGAGGTAGTTCGCTGAATTAGGACGAATTCAAATCAGCACAATACATTAATACACGAAGTACTTCCCCGACAGACACTCGATACATTACAACCTCCCAGCACCTTCTCCTACTCTGATATCCCACGACCGGCACTAGTAATAGTACGACCTCGATCTTCCTACCACTTCGACTTCCTTGTTCACCATAGTACATAACTGCTCTTCTACCACGACTTTCTCCTACAGTATTTGTTCACCATACATAACTCTAGTACCACGACTTTCTCCTCCTATCGCGGCCAGAGGCTCTTTTTCCAATACCATCTCTTCGAAGCGAAAGGCAAGGTCGTAGCTCCGCAGACGGAAGGTACTTAAGGCGTGCATCATGCAAAACACTTTCCAATCCATCGTTTCCTTCTGGACCAGTACCCCTAGTTGCAAGTCGAACAGCATCTGCACTATCCGCTCAAATTTTTCGAACAACGAAGGGGAAGCCAGGAGGTTAGAGGAGAGGAATATATTGTTTGAAGGTTTCTTATTCTTGTTAGCGGAGGAATATATCTTCTTAGGTTTAAGTTAAGGGAGCTCTGATTCTCTTAAATTGTGAAGTAGAAGTAGAAGGGAAGTAATATTGTTTGAAGGGCCAAACCCAAGGGTAGAGGGAAAACTAACCGGCTGCTCTACTCTTTTGTGCTTTAAGCGTCGCTGGACCTAAACCTTCACCTAGAGGAGGAAAAAAATTGGAGGACGAGGAGGGAACGAAAGAAAGCGCAGATGAAAATCAAGAGCATGTGCTGTTGCGAGAAGCGGTAAGGAATTTACTCGCCGAAACCCGACAGATTTCTTGAGTGGACTTTCATTGAAACTATCGAACTACATCATTGGAGTTCTCCTTCTTCGACGTTGATGATGATGATTGTGCCTACTAATCTCTACTTCTCTTTGCACTTCCTGATGTGATTCCTGTAGATCTCCGTGGCGTTATAGGGAAGAAAATTTCATCAAAGCGACCTCATCATAATCAAAGCCAGAATGCAGCTTACGGTGGCTATCGACAGTGCTCCCGAAGGACAATTCGAGAGGAAAACGGAGCCAAACTCACGGGGATCCTTCATCATCCCATAGATCATAGGGTCTAGCTCCTTCAAGAATTTCGCAGCCTGCAGTCCCTTATTCTCGGCGTACGTGGTAAAATATGAAGAGAAAGGAGTATCGTCTTCATCTGTTAATCTAAATCTAGGAGAAAATTATGGTGGAAATGCTCCTGGATTTACAGTTTATTACGTGTGATAACAGGACGTGAAGAATGAAGAATGCTTTGCCCGTAGCAAGTGCCACTCGTCTGATGCGCATGCGTATTCTGGCATCATCAAGTTTAAGTCAGCCTTAAAAAAGTATTAATCGTCTCCAGAATAAAAGGTGCCGGATAACCGGATACTGAGAGGTCGTCGCAGCTCTGAGGCTGGTTGTTGTCGTCGACCACTGGCTTTTCGTCGGAAAGGTTCAGGCTGCAAAGGATTTTGAAAATCGGCAGATATTAGAAGAACCTCTTGCTGTGGATGTTGTGGTAGTCGTTGCTGACGATCGAACTCTACCTCTGTGTCATAGATTGGAGAGTAGAGACAATCGAACTCTTTCATTGTGTGTTGCAGAGTTGTTGTTGTAGAGAGCATATTTATCAGAGTACGAAGCCTTTCGTGTAGTAAGCCTTAACATTCAGTTGTCACCATGACTCGAAAGTTCACCAAGCGTGTGAGCTCCACCACATCGCGGCTCACGAGGTCTAGGCCAGGGGTCTGAACGAAATAAGCTGGCAATGGCACAACTAACTGCCATCTGATGTGTGAGATTTGTGATAGTTTTGTGACTGTGAAGTACCACGAAGGAATAAAAGTGTTTCTTTGATACTGGATGATATGCGAGCATAAGGAATGGGAAAAGCTCTTGTATCACGAGGAAGTAAAAAAGACGAGAACGGAGTATCGTCTTCATCTGTTAATCTAAATCTACCAGCATCCTCCATACATCAATACTACCTTTTCTGTTGCCACGCGGCTGCAAGCAAAGAGCTTGCTATGCTTCCCAAGGGGCATTCTGCTAGAGCTTCGGGAAAGCGTTCTAAAATCCTCAGCCATCTTCTCTGAAAGGTTTCGGATAAAACGAACCCCGCGTCGATGCTTTTTAGAAGTATGAGTGTGAAAGACATCAACTGAATTCCCTGTTGCAGGTCATAGCATGCAGGCGTGAGAATCGCGCCATGCAGATACTAAGGACCCAATTTTAACAGAGTAGGCTACTTCTTTCTTAAATTATGCACCTCCTTTACTGAGTCAAAGAACTCTCGTCTATATTGTTCCCAATCGACTAGTCCGTTTTTCGACCAGCAATCCGGATCACTCGTCTCGAAATGAGGCAGCCATGATTTCCCCGATGCAGCTTCAGCTTTCGCGCCAACGATTCCGTAGTTGTCGAAGGATCGCAGTCCTCCTGTTGCGAAAATGCTGGAAGATGAAAACGACGATGACGTGCTAGCACCAGAGAAGGCAAGAACAATGGCAACAAGCCGAGAAAAAGTCGGCACAACACTTCCAGCTCTAGGCTGGCCCGAAGACAAAGAAACCATCAAAACGAGTCCTCTTGTTGTTAGCGGAATAAAGGATTTCAGGCTAGTCGATATATTTCTTATACGGCACAAGATCGTTAGATTTCTAACACAGGTCACAGCTTGATACAAGTTCTTTCTATGAACTCATTACAATATCAAGATCCTGTAATATCCTGTAATATCCTGTAAGATCTTGTAACATCCTGTAAGATCTTGTAAGATCCTGGAAGATCTTCACAGTTCTTGGAAATAATCAACTCATCGTCAACCTTCACTACTCTTTAGACACTCCTCTTTAGACCCCTCTCAACTCAATTCATCTTAGACCGATTTCTAGATAAGGCACTTAGAAGCAGGAACACCACATCGTTAGAGGCTTTCCTCTAGCCTGGCTACTACCTAGAGCGCTCGCCGGAAAACCTGTCATCGTCATCGAGAACAACAGGTGGTCTCTGGTAAAAGTGAGTCTCAAGACATGTCGGCGAGGCGAAATTTCGTTCTCGGAGGTTGATAGCTACCGGCTAATTTCTTGTTTCAGTCGCTGTTCTTACAAAAAAAAAACGAGTCCTCTTGATTTCCGTTCATTACAAAAGAAAAGATACACAGAATCTGTATTGATCACACTACACAACCTACGCCTACAAACAAGAGACCCGCAGTGCAGACGCTGCAACGTTTTTAAGAACTTGGTTAATGATGGAGTAGAAAAATGGATACTCACCCTTACCTCCCAAGTCCGGTGAACATTGATACTCACCCTTACCCAAGTCCGGTGAACATTGATACTCACCCTTACCTCCCAAGTTGATGAGGCGAATCCATTCGGCAGATTCTTGCCTAAGATTTCCCGGATATTCACCCTTACCTTTATAAAACTCGATCCGCGCCTCCATCGACATCGATAGCTTCCTCTTGATCCATGATTAGTCCCATTGCCACATACGGCACGACCACGACCAAAACCAAAATGACTCCTTGCCTTAGAAGAAGTGGTGGGGGAATGAATGAATGCACCCAGCACTCCAGGGGTTAGGAAGAACCGCTACACACTACTTCTTTTTGCATCTTGGAGAAGATGAGATCCTCGAGCGGGGGACAAGGATCCTTCTGAGTGTATTCCCACACCGAGAGCAGGAGAAGGTGTCGGATCCTCTAGGAGGACGACGAGGAGTAGGGTCAGAAGACGCGATCCTCTAGGAGGAGATCAGATCTTCTAGAAGAACGAGGAGGAGGGAGGAGAAGGGGCTGCTCTCTGGTTAGGTTAGGTTTCCAGGAGAACCACCAGTCTTAACTTCTGTTGCAGACTCAATCCGCGAGCTTCTGTACTTAATACCACGTCTGTTTCGCCTTTACCAGCTATCCGTGCTGACAGGTTGATTAGGGCAGAGAAATAGATCTCAGGTAGAGAAAGATAAAAGAAGAAAGAGTTGGAGAGTCGCGATGAGAACGGATAGTCGAATCTTGTGAAACACAAGAAAAGAATGACAGGCAGTTCGTGTTTAATGACCATTACCACCTCAATGTATCTGATAGATACTAATGAATTGTGTAAAAAATCATTTTCATATGGCATCTTCCATAAGTTAAAGGTAGGCACAGCGATTGTTGTTGTCGAAGAAGTAGAAGAGGAGCTCGACGATGTTGTCGTAGTGGTCGCACTGGTGCTGGTCGCGGTAGTACTAGTGGCACTGGTCGTCGTAGTCGTCGTTGATGTCGTCGTTCGAACGCACTTGGTTGGGTCATTTGCATTCTCCTCGAAATGCTAAGGTTAGAAGTAGAGTCAGTTCGCCTGAGCAGCCCCCGTTGTACTTCGCCTTTCATCTTATTTCAACATCAAGTTATTCAACTTCTTCCTCCTAACTAGTCATATTCGACGTTAACTTGAGAAAGAGAATAATTCCGTCTTAGTACGACATCCAAGTTAAAACCTCTCGAAAATCAAAATGCCCTGAGGAGTTAACTACAAATCACGATAACATGACAGCATAACCTTCCTTACACGTAGCACAGCGTTCTTGGCCATTCGTTGGACACTGTGTGCCTATTTTATGGATGGCGCTTTTTCCATCTAGCCAGACCATCGAAGCCCCCCGAAACCTATACAGTTGTAAGGGGAAAAGGGGCAGCCTCGATGGTCTGAAAGATGGAAAAAGCATCATCCATATATTTTGGGGGTTCCGGCTTCCCTATTACGATTCCCGGGATCAGTACATTTGCACAGCTTTTGCTTGCAGACGCGCGTGGCTGGGCTGCTTCGGAAGCCTTGGTGTATCTGCAGCACCTGTTCGTCCAGAGATGCTGATGACTTCTCTTGGGCAGGTAGTTGCTCGAAAAGAATATCTTCGACCTCTGGTGAAGGTGAGAGAGGGTGCGAAGGTGCTGATCGTTCTCTTTTTTTCATCTCAAAGACTCTGCGAAGGCGAGAACTGGGTGTGGGCCGTGGGTTGTCTCGGTAGTTCTCATCTCCTTCTTCTTTGACGACATCTGTGGTGAAGCCATGTCCCCCTTTGACAATACTAGCAAGAGAACTGGGTGTGGGCGTGTTTTCTGAGTAGTTCTCATCTTCTTCTTTGACGACATCACTGGCAAGACTACTGCTGCTGCTCGCCGAGCTGGAGGGTGCATCGAGAAAATACCCAGCCGGACAACTCTTGCAGTACACATGCCCGTCTTCGGTTAGAAGCAAGTATGTTTCCTTTCTACTATGCGTCGTAAGTACTTCGTTCCCTTCTCCTAGGCTTTTCACTAAAAGAGCAACAAAGAACACCTACGAGAGCGAAAAAGAAGTCGGTAAGACCTAGAAGAACATCATCGAACCAATTACCAAATAGTCATAGATTAGCATAGAAAATAGAACGTCGACAAGATGACCCCTCCAGAAGAAACTAAGACGAGCAGCAATCTGACTAAAATCAACCACCAGATCATAACTCCGGACACCCCACGCCTTCGGCACCATGCTCATTGCCAGCGTCCAGAAGGGCTACTCCCGCATGCGTGTAAGTCTTAGGACTACCTGCTGCATTTTTCTTCACGTTCCGCTTCCGACACGCGCATTTGCGCAATTTACAACATACATCGCGATCTGCGTTGCCGTTACAGGTGGCAGACCCGCATTTCGTGTTCAGAATCATATCACTGGTCTTCGCAATGTAGCCGTTTCTCATTAGAAAATTCGAATTCCAAAATTAAGGCAATCATATTTCTACAACTACACGCATAAGTGGTTAGATCAGTAGCAAGTAGTTATGGAGATCAGAAAATGCATCAAGAGCATGAGATTGGGAAGATATGCGCAAGACGTAATCCAAGAAGTGTTAGGTCACTCTACTTCGTTTTGAAGACGACAAGAAGTTGTCTGAGATTAATCCTCCATCATAAGTGTTCCTGCTCGCAAAAATTGCGGTCCTCTATCGCTTCCTTACACGTTTCGAGACAAGGATCCTTTGTGCACGAGACAGGATTCTTCTGTTGCGTCACATTAGAAATTCATGGATACTGTTGTTAACTCATCATTTAGCCTTAATCATCAACATGAATACTGTTGAATCTTGGTCCTCATCTATTTAGCCTTAATCTCAGCGCAGCTTCTTGTGGACGGGTAGTTCGCAACCAGTTTGTACACGCCATTCTTCGTCCCCGAACCACATGTCACCGAGCACTCGGTGTAGCTGCTCGGATTCTTCTCTTAGAGGCAGACACCTTGTTGCATTCGAGCAGTCATTATCCAAGACCTCAAATCTTCCCATTCTTTCTCAAGGGTTCGAATTGGCACTCTGAAGAACGTGAAAATGATGCGACATTCCAGGTGCCAGGTCCGCGGCTCTGCGGCCAGGCCGCGCCCTCCGGGACGACACAGGCTCGAGTAGAGCCAGGGAAACCGATGCTCCAGGGAAATGAGTAATGCCAGAGGAAAAAATGTTGCAAGAGGACTATATTAATGTAGCAGTAGCTGCTCTTCAGCCATAATTTTCGTAGCAGCATCCAACAAAAGTTATTTCCTGTTTTTCTGTTTTCAAGCTGGGATTGTTTCCAGAGCACGCCCCATCCGTTGACCTGGCCAAAAGCGTGCGTGTCCTGGTTCGTTTTTCGCTTGGGTTGTCGCAGCTTGTCTTCCCGCTCTTCGCACTCCATCCACTCCAAGCCGTAACGCAATGCTTCTTGCCAGCAGTAGAGCCTTAACTACAAGCTTGTTGAGACAAAGACTTTTAAGAGGGTGTGTTTTAGTTTCTAAAAACGTAAAAGCAAGTAATAAAGACTAAGAGACAACGACAAGGCTTGTTCTATGAAATGTCTACGCAAGCCTTAACACAACGGCCCTCGTAGATGATGCGCTCTACAGCAGCGGTGCATGCTCCCCGGGTGTAACCACCCCCTCGATACCCTCCGCCATTGTAGTGCGCGTAGTTGCAGTTCTTTCCGTTATTGCAGTAACGAAGCACCTCAATCTTAGAGCCCGACGCCCTAGAATATTTCTCTCAGATTCATCCACCGGGACCCCTTTTCCCCTCGAACAAATGTCTCTACTTCCCTAGGTTGATGACTTCTCTGCTGATGATCTCTCCTAGGATTACTTCTCTGATGACGCATCGGCCTCCAACAGGATGCTTACCGACATGGATTGCTCCCAGGATGAAGACTTCTCTGCTGATCGATGAATCATTGGGTAACTACAACATGTCGTAACAATGCTTCGTTTCTGGGTCTTTTTCAGCCAACCCTGATTGCCACATCCAAATGTGCACTCTTCCGTATCAGTTTCCCATACACCGGCTTTGCAACAAGCATCCCATGAATTACCAAATTTCATTGAGTTGATGCTCTGGTCGTAGCACCCTCCGCCTGAGGCATTAGATGCTGTGACTTGAGCATTAAGTTGAGGTTACAGTTTCTTGAGCATTAAGTTGGACGTGTACTCCACCATTCTTCAAAAGATTTATAAGACATGCGGAACGGAAAGCTCCACAGTTCTGGCTAAACAACCTGAACCTTCTTCTATTTTGAACTGACGGATTGATCCTCGTAGTGAAAAAATCGTAATAGACGGCGCGCTGTTGAGCTGCACAATCTCTTCACTTCTGTCGCGGTTCGCGGCATTGTTCATCGCATTTGCGGTCGTCACTTGTATGCAACTGTTTCCTTCTTTGACAGCCACCAGACTCTCGGGAACTGTAGGCGAAGTGTGGTGTTGCTGTGCGAGCTCAGAAATCTGTCCACCTTCCAGACTCTGTGTCTCTTGCTCTTCCCTCGTTCCGGATATTAAGAAATCAGCCCTGTCTGCTTCATCTTCCTCTGCTGGGCTACCTTCTTCTAAGGACGATTGCTCTTCATCATCCTCATCATGGGCATCGCCCTCGTTCGCCCCATCGTGTTTCACCTCCCGCTGCAAAAGCTGGCCTGCTCGATGCAACTGTTGTTCTGGGGATGGACCTTTGGAAGGGCTACCATGGTGTTTCGTGTTGCGAGACAGAACGAGAGTTCCAAAAACGAGCACCAGCCGACTGATGCTGACGACCTTTCCGCCGAACAATGCGTGTCCGGTACGCCGCACCCGCATCTTTTTCCACAGGGAGGTGAATTCGCATCGCGATCTATCGCAGCTGTGGCGTCACGGTCGCAAGCGCACATGATCTGCATCCGCTGTCCCAACCATCATGTTGTCATAAGCATCCATTCCTTGTATCAGGAGACTTCCGGTTCCACATAGAACTTTTGTGTGCCTTTTCACGCGAGCTCCTCATAGTTCTACATCAGCTTTTTGTGGCATACGTTGATCACTCCTTGTTCTTCTGTTGGTTCATCTCTCTTTTTTGTTCGTGTTCGTCATACCATTTAGATTTACATTTTCCTCTTACTCTAAACTTTAGCATCGATCGCCAATTTTCTAGGGATTACAGAAGCGCACCAACAAGCAGCTCCACGCACAGTCTTCTACTGCAGGCTTGAGCCGTTCCGTGGATATTACGCCACTGCCTATGTTATCGTCATCCTACACCAAAAATGCTAATGTCAATGGGCGTCATGTTTATGGTCATGATAATGATGGTGTGTGTCGTTCCTGTGCAACAACGTTTTCATGTTCATGATTCAGGATGTGCGAGTGCTCCCAAGAACTGGTGCGTAATTTTCCGAGTCCATGCTAAGTAAAGCAAAGAGTATATCCCTATGCCTGCGGGGGGTGGAAAACTATGACAATGAACCATGTACTACTATGTTATCTGTGTTTCACCGCACTTCTTGGAAAACTAGAAGAACACTATGCTCGGTCTACTAGAACAAAAATATGCTTGGCAACACTTATTTTCACGAAGTAGTAGCTTCTGTCTCGCTGTCAGAGTCACGGAGTAGTTTCCGTCTCGCTGTCAACGATGCGGTGTCCGGCTCCGAGGAAAGGTGAGAATGGTCCGCGCACACCTGTCATTTCCAACGAGAACGGATTTGAGTGCTCGTTGTAGCCAGTGCTCGTTGTAGCCAGGTATGAAAGAAGAAGAATGGCGGGGTATTTTTTCCGTCCTAGTCGTGCTAGTCCTAGTAGCGTATAAAGCAGACTCTCCTTCCTACTACTGGGACGACATAATTCTTGTAAGGCCTAGCTTTCAGTGTTTTCAGTAGAAGATCGGGCAAAAATAAAATTATCACCTCATCTTCAATTCATAACTGTAGTTGTCCAGCACTGCTTGTCGACTGCATTCCACCGCTGACGCCGCTCATTGCAGCACCACCTTGAAAATCGAGACTAGTGTCGAATACGTCCGGTCCCCCACCTCCTGCCAGTCTTGACTGCCACGCTGCTTGCTGCATAACCGTGATTCGCGTATCTAGCTTGCGACTCAAACAAAACAACAGGAAATACTGCACAATGCTCAAGACCAACGCCAAGTCCCCTACAGCTGTTAGGGTAGAACACCGGTCTTCGGTCACGTAGATCATGCCTCCGTCGTCTGCTGGTGCCCCATTCGACTGTGTACTGTGGTCTGTCGCAGTTGCAGCGCTATGCGTAGTAGTAGTACCAGTTGTAGACGCTGAAGATATAACCTTGTCCCGAAGACGTTGAGCTGCTGTGTCAACGACGTTATTCGAAACACTGTTTGTTGTTGTTGTTTTTGTACTAGCACCATTTCCAGGATCATCTGCTTCACCAGCAGACGTGCTGCTAGGATTCTGCTTATCCGCCACTGCATCGTCGATAACAACACTCGCTCCACCAGCACCAAGTGGCGTTGTTGAAGGAGATGTCCCTCCGTCTTCTTGTCCTTCCATCGATGGACTCCGCACTGCAGCTCGTTCATCTTGATTAGCAAGTCTCTCTTCAACTACATTTTGCTTCTGTCCCGTTTGCTTCCATGCGTCCGCAGCCTCCTTTGCGTCCGCCGCTTCAGCCTGTAGCTGCTCAAAAAACGGGCTCTGCATGCCCCTCAGGCTTTTCGCCAAGGCATTCGTTGATCCATAATCACGTGGTCCGCCGAGCGGCTTGGGGATTAGAGATTGACATGATTGGTTGTAGGAGAGGATTCCACTACGTTTCGCTGCTAAAGCAGACAACTTCTAGGACCACGAGTGTAGGTCTTCACAGGCAACCTCGAACTCACTTCCGGACTTCCATCCATAACGTCCTTCCCGACACCGCGTTCGCGCGTGCGCGAGCATAGAGCTCGATAGGATGGTAAGGATATTTGTCGACGCATGACGCTTGCAAAAACGTCGACCAAGCCCGCTCTCTAGGCGCAAACACCATCAAAAGTGCAAGCCCGTTCAACACAGCGTTGAATCCAGCTATGGTCGATAGTGGTCCAAGACAAGCCAGACTCCGGTTGCGAGCGAAGAGAGCGAGATACCTGGTGGTCGTCGTGGGTTTTAGAAAATTATACGAAGGATAATGATCGGACCAAGCTTGTTGAGGTTCTCGTTTTGTCAAGCTCTCCTCGTAGACACTAGCCGGGGTGAGCTTGTAGTGAGAGCGTCAGCAACATTGCCATCCAGGAGAGAATCTGCAAATATCGACCATCGAGAAGAAAAATGTCTCACTGTGAAGTATTATATATACCCACAAGTGAAGGCGAGAGAATCGGACAGCAGTAGGCCACTGTTCCCTCCAGCGACCTTCAGTATCAGGAAAATTGGTATCACCGCGACAAGACCCTGTACCACCTTCTCGCACGTTCCAAACTGGCAGTCATAGCTTGCTCTGGAAGCTTTCTTAGAGTCATTGATTGATTGATTGATTGCTTGATTGATTTACCTAGCACATGGTACGGCCTCAAGACTTAATTAGGATGCAAACGCTATGCTGGGTCACGAATATCATCTGTTATTCAGTGATAGCCTACGTGTCCGTCTTCTCCATTTGCTGAGTGAAAGAAACATCAAGGCGGGAGAACTTCTTTCGAGCCATAATTTCGATCGACGCAGACGCGCCTGCAGCACCACTCGCATCTTCTTCTCCACCCGTCACAGCCGCTTCCATGTTGAGGAGCTGACTGCTTCCATGTTCGGGAGCTGAATCCACTTCAAACGCTTGGCCTCCACCAGAGGCTACGCCGTGGCCGTTTTCGGAAACGGCAACTTCGCGCTTTTGTCCTGTATCCACAACCAGCTGACCTTCTACATGATCCCCTGGTGTAGTCGTGAACGCACTTGTCATGTTAGGATTCTGCGTAGAGTAAGCTCCAGCACTTGCTTGTGCATCATTCTGCTGAGACGGTTCCATGCTTCTTTTCTCTTTGATGAGTGTTGCTCTGTGATCTTTTGCGAACGAAGGAGAAGGTGGGAGTTGCAGCTGCTAGTACTAGTATTTACAAGCATGAATCTGATGATGCAACTCAAAATGGGGTGAAAACTGGGGTATTCTCGGGACATCGGGTGTGGATCTGGAGTTGGTGACCGAAGACTGTCAAACCGAGCATTCTTCACTTCTGGAACCGACTCAAGTAGGACAACAGAAATATTCTTTACCAACCGACTGGGTCGTCTTGACAACAGAAGACTCGCCGGAGACTGAAGATACTCTTCTGGCTTGTAGTAACCGTCGCTCTCGCTGTCTGCGCCTCACATGCCACACAGATGAACCATCAAAACACCTTGTTTGCCAACACCACCAGGAACGAAACGAGTAGCAATGTCGTCGTGACCACTCCCGCTACATCATGCTGGATTTTTTTCACTTCAACATGACAGACAAAAAATGACTGTAAAACGAATCTCAATCTTTCGAATTCGATATGATTTATTAGTAGCGACCCACTTTATTACCTGCGTATTTACTCATTCATTCGAACCACGTAGCAGCTACAAGTAACTGCCGGGTTCCATGGTGACCCGGGTAGAGACATGGTGCGCATATCATTTTACCGCCCGATCGTGGCAGGTTGGGGTCGAGGACTTCGAGGAGGAAGTTCTAACATCCAAAACGTAATGCGAATGTTCGTATGAAGTTCCCCCTGATGCCCCAACAGCACCGACCACGACGGACGGGTGATTTGATACAGAACCACGAAGCCATAATCCCCACGACACATGTGGGTACTTACTAAGTAGCAGCTAGCATGACAAATAGAGAGACAACCATTTATTTGATATTAAGACTACCACGAGCATGTAAACAACGATTCAGCATCATCAATAAAAACAGTCAGTTGACACACACTTTTTGAGTAGCAGGTAGCATGTTCGTTCAGATTTGTAGTCAGCGGAGTAAGTGTACAAGGTAAGCCATGACCTGAATCAACAGTGAAGATCTAAATGGCAGTAGAAACTCAAACAAGCGAATATTTCGATAAAAATTGTGAGGATAATTAGTAGTGAACGAATATTTTTTTCAACATGTCACAGCGAAGAAAGCAATATCAAAAGCGAACGCATACTCCTAGCTAACAACATACCACAGTATGCTAGAATTCAATTGCGGTAGTGAATTATTTTGTGTACTTCAGTAGTACTAGATTAAGACTCAACACAAGTTCACTTAACAGAGTATTTCTGAAACACGATCAGAGGGCCACTGTCATCACAACTCATGGAACTTCATCCTGTCATCCTTTCATATCAGATTGAAAAGGGGAAATGACCCAATCCACCTAAACGCTCGATAGATAGGGGAGGTCATAATTAACTTTTTAATGTAACGTTCGATGTAACACAGTAACAGCAGTAAATCTAGTGAATCATCATCTTTCATCTGGCGGGAGAAGATCTGTGCTGCAGAACTAAAGCACCTCCTCCTGCGAGTTCCTGCGAGTGTACTAGGCTTCTGGAAAGTTCAAGTTGGTAGAAGTTGCGAAGAAAATCCCCAAGCTGATCCCCAATTTTTTTGTACGTCTCCACAAGACGAACTACTACCAACTTGCTTGATGAGTTCGTTGCACAAAGCACAAGTTGCTTGTGAAGATAGTACTGTTCGTTGTAGTAGATGCGGTAGTGAAGATAGTACTGTAGGACGTACTACTACAGGGCTAGTAGTTTATTGCAACTGCGTCAGAAAAGCAGCCCATGAAAAGGTACGACCAGCTGCCGAAGACGTCGAGCTATGATGCAAAAGGGTAGTGGGATTAACTCCTTCCCCTATTAGCGGATGGTGGACAGCGCGATAGAATTGCTCAGAATCGTCCTTCACAGCTCTTCTACCAGTGGCAGCGGTATTTCTAGGCGGGTAACATGGAATTGATCTGATGTCGATGTACCTTCTTGCATGGCGTACTAAAAACTAGTTCTAAATTGTTGACTTCCTCCTCTTCTTCCTCCTCTATAATCCCTTGCACCTCTGAGAGACTTTTCCTTCTGTGGTGTCATGCTAATTGTTGTGGTTTTTCGAACATGAAGTTGGAGATGCTGGTACTTATCCGCAGACTGTTCGTGCTACTGCTTCTGCTTCGAACGCGGTGGTTACAACATGTACTCCCGCAGCAGCTTCGTCGCCTCCCAACCTCAATCGAAAGACACAGCGGCTAGCGCAACACCACGTCAGGCTGTATCCTTCTCCTCTTTTCTTCATCTATTTCCGATAGTAGAGCGATTACGAGTCCTCATCGTCGCCCTTCTTTCCCTTACCCTTGCCCTTGCCTTTCTTTCCCTTCTTACCTGGGTGGAAGGTGTGGTTCGTGATAAGAACAGGATTCCATGATCGGACAAATTTTCCGACAGCAAGTAGTGTGACAAGAGACATCGGTGATAGAAAAAATTCTATTGAGAAAGTGCTGAAATGTTGAGGACTTCCAGAACCTCATCACAACTAGTTTGGATCTACCACACATCATCGTCAATACAAAAAAAATACCCTCTCCTCCCTTCTTGCCTTTGCCCTTCCCCTTTGCCTTGGACTCGCAATCGGAACCTCCCAGTCCAGTCACGTTGATAGCGACTTTCTTGGAGGCATCTTTCGGGTCATCAGCCAACTCGAATTCAACCTGTTAATCCGTTCAGAGAGAGTGCGTGTGTGTTTGATGGAAAGAAGCGGTTTCGTTGAGGAGAATGGTTTTGGACTGGGCGAACAGCGATTTCCCGTGGTGGAAAGAAGAAGGAAACAATTCGTCAGTGGTGGTTGTGCCATACGGAGTCGAGCTTCCATCTAGTGGGAGTTCTGCGAAATATAAGTGGAGCTACCTTGCTTCCCTCCTGCAGCGATTTGAAACCGTCTTCGGATTCCTGCTTGATCTGTTGGTAGTGGACCAGCACATCTGGATCTCCGTCCTGATTTCCGTCTGGGGTGATGAACCCGATACCTAAATGGACCAAACCAATGTTTTTTAGGATGCCACACAGCAGAGAGTAATCTTCAGTGAGTTTCGACTCGAGAACCCATATGCGATTTTCTACAAAGAGACAAAAGTACCTTTGTGGTTGAGCCATTTGGCGACGACTCCGACTGATCGGCCCATTTTTTTCGATTTCCTTCTACTACTGTCTGCGCGAAGACAAAGCACAAGCCTCTCCTTCCACCTCCCTAAAAATTTTTTTCGGTAAATGATAGTCTCTCTTTTTTTGGATTTTCTTTGTGCCGAAGAACAAGAACGGAAGGATTGCGCTCTCTCACAGCCTCGTCTTTGTAGACCATTCGTGCTCGAGACTGGACCTACCACATTTTGACCAAGACGATCGACCAAAGAACTCTACTACAGCTGAACTAACGAATCGTCTCTCACGTAGAGGCAGCTGGTATCCCAGCTTGAGCGACTGGGGCCATGCTTTACGATGTCGATTGTGAACACATTTACATCACGATGAAAGGAACAATCTTGCTCCCCGTCGCCTTCACCGGTTTCCATCCCCACCACAGCAAGAGGAAGGAAGGATGGCAGCCAGTCCATTTTTGTAAAGATCGCGCGTTAGTTCTCTTCGAAGCATCTTTCATCGATTAAGTTTTTTCGAGCAAAGGCACGTGCACAAGCAGTACACAGAACCTTCTCGATGTTGGTGAGTACTGATGTTGACTACTGACGTTGAGAGTGCGGGGAGAATGTGAATAATGCAAGGACCGACCAACACCTTTTGTGAAGAGGTCATGAAGATTTTAAAGATCTCCGTATTTAGCTTCCACATGGGGCTGCTGGTGACGAATCTACTTCGAGGATAGGTCATTCTAGCTAAAGACACGCTGTGTATTGATCAAAGAGTTCTTCGAGTGTTTCACAGTGCGGCTCAGCCTGCCATGAAAGGATCGCTTGATGATTGTCAGAAGGAAACTGATCCCCTTCCTAAATAAAGACGCAAGTAGACATGTCAGGTTAAAGTGCTACTATAAATATCGATGGTTAGTGGTACCCTTAAACCTCACGCGAGGCCTAGAGACTCTTTACAAATGCTTTGATCATGTCAGCGCCCTTGATCCTCGCTAATTCACCCGCTACTTGATGTCGCGCCACTCCTACGGCCAAAGACCTCCCTTCCACTTTAGATGAAGGTCAAGGAAGGTAGAAGCAACTAGAGTTCTCTTCAAATCAACAGCCTCCTTTTGCCGTGAGAAAAAAACACAACACGACATCAAGTATGGAATCTCAACACAGTCTCAAACAGTTCCTCATCCAGGCATCCATCCTACTTCGCATCGTAATACATAGTTCATAGAGTGCAACTTGACCAGGAAACCAGAAACAACTTAGCAAAGGGATCGATTTTCTAAGCAATATGTAAGAAAAAAGACTCAGTGAGTAGCAAACAATTGTGCTGATCTGTCCGGTTTTGTGCGGCGGACTAATGTAAACTGGGTAGACAATAACTAATCTTCTATATTGTTACAGTGCATGATGAGTTTTTTTTGTTTTTTTAGTTGGACGTTTGAATAGGCATAAGTCGTACAGGAGATGCGCGCCTTATTAGCAACCCGTATATCCTAACAGAGGAAAAAGCGCGTCTCAATCATCACGATTCGTCGCGCCCCTCCATCAGCAAAGCAACAACAAATCTGACGACAATCTACTCACGAATCCAACTTGTTTTTAGTTCACCTCCACAATGCAGGCAAGGTAGATGGGATTCGGCTTTTCGTGCTCGGTCGATTCTGACATCTACTGCTCTGACTTAGAATTTTACTTCTTCAAGACAGTAAATCCAGGTAGTCGCTCCCACCTTAAAACAGTAAATCCACATCAAGAAGAGCTTTTCTCAGAAACGACTCGATAACGAGAGTGCCCGCTCGAGGACACGTCTCATTACCAAGTCATCGATGCGTTGCCAGCTTTTGACCTTTCCCCACCTCTTTTGTCGTCTTCTCTAGCTCTAATCCATCTTAGTACATACTTTTTCCCCCAATTATGTCGTAGTACTCCCCTCAACATGTCACCCATGTGGATCACAGACTCCTATTATCTTGGATAATTCTTTAGTTAATTTCATTTTCTACTTTTAGAGCCTCCTGCTCTCATCCTTCTCCTTACATCCAGTTACTATACTCCTCGTTTCTAATCTGCTCGATTAGGAGTCTTCCTCCTCTTCAGCGGCCTTTCCCTTGCCTTTTCCTTTTCCCTTCTTTCCCTTGCCTTTACCTGTAGTGAGTTGTAATGGTGAGGTTTTCGGTCAGAAAAGTCATATTCGTGAGAAGACACCGAATAATGATGCAAGTGCTTCTTTACAAAGCAAATGAACCTTCCAATTCTACGACAGGCGCGAACGTGGTCACTGAATTCGTTTTGCTGCAAAACGGTATCACCAAACAAGGATGAAATCGATGAAGAAATACCTTTTCCCTTTCCCTTTCCTTTGCCCTTTCCCTTGACCTTAGCCTCGCAGTCACCACCACCGACAGCGGTCACCTTGACGGCAACCTTCTTGGCGCCATCCTTCGGGTCATCTTCGAGCTCGAATTCGACCTAAGAAAGTTTTTGGAGGCGGGATAGAGACTGACATATTCTTAGGATTGAACATGATCGCTGAGCAGTGAGAATCAATCGATCTTATCACAGGGTTCTTTAGAAAACACATCAACTTCTGCACGAAACACAGCCCCAAAGCAACAGTAATTATCTTGGAGGTGTTACAGAAACTCAGAAATTCTCATCATCTTTCTTTCATTCATTCAATTGCGAACCACGTGACAATTTACGCTACCTGATGTCAATAAAGCAACAGCAAATCTAAAACTAAAATCTTTCTCATCCTTATACCTGGCTTCCCTGCTGAAGGGATTTGAATCCATCCTCGGACTCCTGCTTGATCTGCTGGTAGTGGACCAGGACGTCTGGATCGCCTTCCTGGTTTCCATCTGGCGTGATGAATCCGATACCCTTGTGGTTCAACCACTTAGCGACAGTACCGGTGGAACGAGTCGGCATTTTGTTGGTTTTGGTAGGTGTTCTAAGCAAAAAATGCAAAGAAAGAAGTTTTGTGTGATTTAGATGCTTCGTCTAAGCACGAATGGCTCCGACTCTTCTTATTTCCCTGTCGGATTTTGGAGGGAGAAAATCGTATTTTGGAGCTTTGCAGAACCCGATCGAAATTTAGATTTTTTAGATGTAAGACTGAACGTCAGGCAGTTATTTATCGGTTTTGGCGGTTCCTTTTTAGGTACAAGACACAATTTGGATCGAGCAATTTCAGATTTGCGATCCTGCTGGAGCAAGCATTTTTTTTGGCCTTCTTTTGGATCTTGTGATTTGCAGCGAATTTCGGAGTGATTTTTAGATCTTGTACTTTCAATTTCGAACAGGAGAACTTGAAACGTTCCCGCTTGTAGCGTTTCAGTTTTGCAACTTTATCACGATCTTTAGACTGATCTGGCTTGTTCTCCCAAATCATCTTGCTGGTTGAAAAAAAGACCACCGAGTGAACATTTTCCTGTATTGCAGTATTCGAAAAACAAAGTTCAAAATCCAAGGATTCATGGAAGACCATTGAATTAAAATTCACATAATTTGCTCTCCTGCACTCCAATTGGAGCGAAGTAGTACCGAGGAGAAAAAACGAAATTAGAAAACGTTCAAAATATTCAAAAGATTTTGAATATCACTTATTGTGCTAGTTCTTGCAGCTGTATCTTCTTAAAGAATCTGATTTGGTGTGGAATTTATTCCTTTCAACAAAGTTAATCAGATCTGGATTGCCCTTTATAGTTTCAAATTCAAACAAGAAATGCCCAAAATATGAATCAGGTTGACAAGTGACATAGAGGCTAGCAGTGCCCGTAAGCTACTAGGTAGCCCATTGCAGAAAGTCAATGTTGGTATCAATTAAATCTAAATCAATCTTTGCGCCCGCATGGGTATACGACCAACTCAGGTAATTATACATCGATTTGTTTCTAGAGAATACTGCTCGTATTCCAAAAATTTTTCCCCCCATAAACCTAAATCACCCCCGCCGTCGAGACTCGGGCACTCGTTTTTATCGGTGCACTCGTTCTTGCGACGCTTTCCTTGCTACTCGATCCGCCACTGAAGGACACGGAGTTACTGCATGAATCACCAACTTGTGTCGATACCGAAGAGTTGCTATTAGAATGAGGAAATGTGTAGTTTTTTGTTGTGTAGTCGGGAGACCCGGCTCAGATTATTCTCTACAGGGGATCTACACAGCTTGGTGTCCTTATTTCACACTACCGGCACAAGAAAACTCGTCTGTCTCAGCCATAACTTTCGAGGGTTTCACCGGCAGCAATTTGTTACTGCCGCTCAAAGTACCAGGGAGGGGGAATATACGATACGCGCCAGTGCTTTTGTCAAATTTGGGTGTTGTTGCAGAGCTGTGATCTTCGAGAGGGGCCTCGGAGGTTTCTTCAGGTCGCGGGAAAACGTCTTGTAAGGTAGCAGAAATAGTGGTCTCGCTGTGGTCTATATGATCTCCGAGTTGTTCTTTGCTGGAAACATTTATCGTATCAAGCCCTGCTACTCTGCGGGTATCAACGACGGGCTCCAGTGGGCGGGTATGAATCGCTTCCGCGGCAAGCAGAGCAGGACCAGAAGAGACTTTTGGCTTCAAGGGAGTAGTAGAGGAAGAGCTAGCAAAAGGCTGAACTACTACTTTGGGGAAGTTGAAGGGCCGCTGAAGTGGAACACTCTCTGGCTCGACAACACGAGCCTTAGGAGCAGCATCGTCTTGCTGAAACTCAAGGTGTACTCTTTTGTTGGCTCTTTGAGGCTCTTGTTCTTGTGAAGATGGAAGCGGTGCTACTTCTGAGATCTTGTATGCAGCTGACGATGAAGAGAGTGACGCGAGTAACTGATTCCCACTGATTTTCCTTTCTGTAGATTGAGATCGTTCGGGATCGCCGAGCAATCCATCTGGCCTTCGTGTTTCTTCTGTTGTTAGAAAATTTCAACTTCACATATTCTGTTAACGGATCAGAATCTAGGAATCGGCCAAGTAGAGTTTCATTTTCAAGGAACTACAACTCAATCTGTTGTCTTCAGACCTGCTATCGCGATAGCGATGCAGTATTTTAGTGCAAACTGACGACGTGCTGTGAGCCGTAACCTCAAGTTTCTCCGCTCCTCCGCGCCACCCATCGATGAAGAGTACACAGCAGAGTTTATGTCTTCTAGATTCTGGTAGTAACTTGCATGTTGATGGACTACTTTGTTGAAGACATCGGTCTCCCCAAGGTTCATCCGCCATGTGGGCTGAGGCTCTTGTCGCTGGCCCAACACCTCTGCACTGGTACCAGATGGCAAAGATGACGACGTGCTTCCACCAAAGGTGTAATTCGCTAGCGGTCTACTGCTAGTCTTCAAAATGCCTCTAGTTTTGTTTGCAGAAAGGCTCCGGGAGCGTGCTTTTGCGGCTGCAGTCGTGGCTCCTGCTGCGTTAGGGAAGAAGCGTTGTGCTACTGCGGAGGTAGTACTCGCTATTCTATCTTCAGACCTTGCTGATCCATCCTGGTCGTCGTTCGCATCACCCTCCACATTCGAAGTAGCCACGGGTGTAGCGAATGAGAACCTCTTATTTGCTCTCACTTCCGCAGCAGCGTTTTTGATGTAACTCAATCTGCCTCCACCAGGTACAATCGTTGTGCTCCTTCTTCCTCTGACGTCTTCCGCACGCTCTTGTCCAATATCCATGACGGCGTCGACTTCGGGACTACTAGTTTCAGGCTCTCCTCTAGAGGAAAACCTCCCACTACCAGGCGGCACACTCTTCGACCTCTCAGATTTGACCATTTGCAGCAGAATTCTGAACGCCTCTGTGTTATCCTGCGTCGCTTGGGCTACTACGGTCTTGAGAGAGCGCTCTAGCACTGCCATTTTCTTCTCCATCGTGCCCGTTACCTCTTCAAGTCGCGGGGTGACCGGAACCAGATGTTGGCTATTTTTACTTGTAGTGTGTCCACTAGAGGTTTCCGCCAGGGTGTTATTCCTCTCCTCCTCCTCTTGCGCGAGTCGCAGTTCCTGCTGGCGCAGGTTACGTTAGAGCACGATGGATCGGGACACTTTTCACATTGGACCGACATCAATCGCTTTCAGCTAGAACAATCAATACCCGAGAGAAGCAGATCGATGCCCTCAACATTCTTTCCACGGAAATAGCAAATAAACTAAGTAGCCTTAACTATGCGACACCTTATGTGCTACATTATGCGCCGCTGTCGCTTGACTGATCGCTCCATTTACCAGATGTGCAAGTGCTGTCAATCTTTCTTTCACCCCTGGAAGCTCCCGCGACAAACCGAGTGACAAAGCCCGTTGTTCCGTTGACATCTCCATCACGCGGCTCTCCAGTCCTCTGTGTATTTCGTGCAGTTTCCTCACTTCAATAGCCTGCGAGTCCGCCATGCGTTTCTCCAGCATCTGGCTCTGTGACAGGAGCTGTTGTTCAACAAATACTTTCATCTGCTCAGTCTGGAGGTCCACCGTGTTCTGAGAGAGTGTAGCAAGACTACTCCCTTGGAGGTCGACGGCAGAAGCGGCAGCCGCTGTTGCTGTCTCAACTTGTGTCGCCTGCTCCACCTTCACCTTAGTAGAGTCCTCTTCCCGCAGATACCTTCGTGTTTCGATTGCTGCTAATCGCACTACAAGGTCCTCAAATCGAGTTTCCAGCGACAAAACGTCACTTTCCAGATCTTTCATTTTCAATCGCAGCGTTTGTTCCAGTTTGTCTCGGATCTGGAGTTCAATTCTCTTCGAAACTTCTTCTACATCAACATCGTTCACTCTGCTCAGAGTCTTAGAGGTTGCCGAGTTGCATTCTTCAGGACATCCTTGGCCCATTTTCCCCTTGACAAGGAGCCAAGGATGGTAGTGACGGATGTAATTCGGAAACCCTTAAGAGTAGATGGTATTGCAACAGCTGACGTTGTCGTAGTAGTAGTGGTTGAAGAAGGACCGGAAGCACCTCCTACACCTGTACTACTCGTTTCCTTGCTGTGCTTCTCGCCTCTCCTCACCACCTCAGCTGCAGATGGTAAGTCTATGCTACTAAAGTTCTTCGCGCTCTCTGCTAGAATGATTTCCATTGCTTCGGCTTCAAACCGGCGCATGCGGTCCTCAATAGCAGCATCTTGTGTGCCGAGCAGCCCTTTGATTAGCGCTTTCCGTGCTTCATCTTTCAACTGCATCCTCGAAACGTGTGAGTCGACGTGGGTAATCACTTACACTTTTCAAGGCCGCAGCTGGAAGGTGAATTAGTGAGAGCCTTAATTTGACCTGTTTCTCGACGTTTTTGCGGATGTCGATTTCAGCTCGCTTCGAGACCTCCAGTCCATCAGTCTCCAACTGCGCTAGTCGACTCCGCAATGCTTCTGTGGTCTTCTCTCGGCCTTTGTGGTCGAGGGAGTCGTGGAGCTCTGTATTTGTGATGGTTGGGACCTTCGATTGATCACGCTTAGGGTACATCGAGCGGGGGGTGGCGAATGGTTCATGTCACTTCTGTCGACGAGGTTGTAAAGCACGAAAAAATGAACTCATGAGGCACATGTCATATCATCTAGTACCAGTAAACCGTTTTTCCACTCGACTTTCAAGGCGTGACAGCTTATTCTCAACAATCCTTGCTGCTTTTCCAACATCATCTTCTTTCTGGGAATCTATCATACTTTCCAGGCGTGCCAAGCGAGCCTCTGCCATCGAAGAATGAAAATCGCGGAGGGCGCTGTTGTGGTTGGAGAACATGGAAGGATCAACAATTTCGATGTAGTCGAGGTTCTTTTTTACATGAAGATGACAGCAAGATGAATCGATGTAGTCGAGGTTCTTTTTTACATGAAGATGACAGCAAGATGAAAAAACAGGAGAGGGCAGGAAAAACGGGCTCTGGTACATACTCCTTCAACATTCAGTTGGAAATACTTTTCCATCCTGCCCACCCGCGCAGACAATTTCCCGCCTTCCTTAATCGCCTCGACAGCAGTCTCTGCTTTACCTGATGTCCTCGGCTGCGCTAAAGGTGAATTATCGTCCTTTTTCATCTCCACTTGCGCGACTTGCAGCTTTCTCAATTGGAATTCTAGATCAGCGAATTTCTCCACATCAAATTTCGTCTTCTGCTCCAACTCCTGCCTCAAGTTTCCAACTTCGTGCTTCAATTCCCTATTTTCCCTCTGTAAGGCTTCACACTCCTGTGCCGTTGCAGAAGTACAGCTAGAAGAAGAAGCTAGAGTCGTTGATATAATCTGATGTTGATTCATTTGTGAAGTATGATTTTCTGAAGTATCTTCCCTGTCTTTCACTGCTCTAGGCGTCATCCTCCTGTCAGCACTAGGCGTCGAAGCACTTTGCTGTTGTAGTTCTTCCCGCAACCGATCCACCGCTCTTTTGATACTCGCATCACAAAGATCAGACAATTGCAGCAACGACGCTCTCGAATTCTGGTCTAATTGAGTAACCTGCGACTCCAGTTCAAACAGTCGTGAACGCACGTCGCGCCTACTGCGATCTTGCTCGTTCTGCATCTCTTCCAACTGAAGAGCGAGTTTCCTATTCGACTCTGTCACCGCAAGTTGTAACTCCGCTGCTGCGGGGCCACCAGGGACCAATCCTGCGCCAGCCCTACCACTACTACCATTTAGTTGCTCCTCCTTCCTTTTGCCCAACATTACCTGTTCTACCTTCGATAAAGCGTCGTCACCTCTAGCTTCTGATAGTAACAGTCGTTGTTGGACATCGGATTCGTGTTTTTTCAGCTTGCCATGGAATTCTCGCATCTGCTGGCTCATGGAATGGAGCACTTTTTGGCATAAATCTGCTGTTTCATCTGCTTTGGGGGATTAGAGATTCGAGAATTAGACAGTTCGTGTGGGAGATCATTATAATTGAGTGCACCAATGAGAAAAAACTACCAAGAGTAAAAAATCATGGCCGCCGGATCTGGGCGGAGTGATAGAACACACAATTCTTACTAAGTAAATTTACTATAGACAAATAAACACCTCATCTATCCTCATAACGTTCCAAGGCCACAAATCTTCCACTATGCTCCTCCACATGCGTCAACAACGATTCCAGATTCCTTTCGCAGTCTCGACTCATCCTCTCGCAGATGTCCATTCGCTTTGCTGTTTTCTCGTCTGCTACTCCCAGCGCACCAGCGTTTTTGTTCGCCAGAGTGTTCATCTTCAGCATCTGTTCTTCATGTTCTGCTTGTAGGAGTGAGCGCTTGTTATTACTTTCCCGAAGCTCCATCAAAACCGTCTCCATCTCCTCTACTTTGACGGCTGTTGCGCTCTTCTCCCGTTCCTCCTTCACAACAGCACGTGGATTAGTAGTACTATCCATCCCTTCGAGGCGCATAGAATTCCTTTCAGTCTCCTCCGCAAGGTCGTTCAAGCGTTGCAGGAGTTGGTCCTGCAAGAGTGAGAGGGGTGATGTTAACCTAGTTGTATTAAAGTACTTAAGTCGTATAAACTTTTGTTCGAGTGAAAATTCATTTCAGGGAGAGGAAGCGTCACTTGAACGGTTATTTGAAGCGAGACTAGCTTGCGAACCTTAGATAGTCTAAAAACATACTCCACTTGAGATTGAAGCGAGGTAAACATTAATCTTGTTGCAATGACGCAGGGATCATACCTCCAATTCTGTCAGCCCCCGTGCCAGCACATCTTGGTCCGCACGCATCTGATGCATTTCTCGTGCGACGCGACCGTCTAGAGCGAACAATTCAGCAGATAGATGTCGCATTGCATCTTGTCGGTCAGTGCTGCGCTGTATCTGGTCCATACCACTACCATCTGGTAAAGCATCCTGGGATAGCCGCAACATGCTGTCCTTCAACGCGCTGAGTCCATCGGCTGAGGGTTCTTGTTTAGAAGGTGCGGCGGCCCCCTGTTTGCCGAGAGGGCCGCTGACATTGAGAGAAGGTCCTCTGCCGGCAGTCATTTTCTTTGTTCTCTCAAGCGGAATCAAAAAAAAATAAATTACATGTCAGTTGCGATTCTAATGTCGCTGGCCAAGAAGATCCTAATGTACTATTTTCCGTTTCGCAGAATGTCTTTTTGCTAATCAATCCTCGAACTCTAGCATTCAATCCAGATCGGCCACTTTGCTTTCGTTTTACCCTCTCACAATAAACACGAAAAGTCGATTTCATCACGGAGCTGACGATGCTTGTTTCGACGGTTTTTGTGCTAGATATCGGTGTGAATTGCGTACAATTCTTTTACTTGGAATGGTCTTCATCAACAAACAGTATTTGTTGGCCGTATTGGTAAAAACGGGAGTCACTGACGCATAAATGCATCGTCTTCGATAGTACAGTCAGAAAAAATGCTTAAGAAGTCTTCAGCTATGAAAATCAGCCACTCAGAAAACCAATAAGAACTTATCAACTAGAGGCCAGGCACAGAATATTTAGAACAAAATTGAATAACGACATCACACCACCGCACTATGAGCCCGTGTAATTGTAAAGAAACAAAAGTATAAAAGATCTGGTGGTCGACGCAGGTAAAAATGTACAGCTAACATCGTAGGTAAAGGCAAAAGATGGTTGCTATAAAAGCAACAGAACGAAGTTTTTGAGGTGTTGCTATCGCTAAAGTAAGTCGTCATAGGCTTCCACCGCTGATGTGGAGTTGCCATGACGTAATTATCACATGTCCGCTGCAGGACGTAATTATCACGTGTCCTTTCGCCACAGGAAGTATAACTAACGTCGTAGATCCTAATGTCCCGCACTCGCTTCCACCCCTTTCATCCGGCTGTACAGGTAGTCAAAGGCGTAGCCGAGTAAGATCACCATGACTCCGGTCAAAGCGAGCGTGTCGAGTTGCTTTCCGAAGAAGCAATATCCACTCAAAACGCTGGAGAGCAATACCATCGGCGAAACGGCCAGACAATAGACGGTCGCGGGGGAATGTTAGAATGAGGTAATGAAGAGCATGGTGATGCACTTTTCCTAGCATGAAAGAGCGGAGCCTGGGTACTAGTCAATCCACTACACCATAAATGTAACACAGTACGCGACCCACAAACACGGTGCACATTTGTCCTGCCGCACCACTCATCGACATAGCGATCCACAGGAGCAAAGGCAGGGCAAACAAGTCACCGCCCGTTCTGTCTTCTGGAGTATGCGGCCAAAGCACTGGCACTCGTATGCTATCGAATGCACCAGGTGGGAACCAGTACAGGATATTGTAGATAGATCCCCACAACACCAAAACAGCCGAGTCCTCTGGGTTCCACCGTATTTCCTCGTCACTGGCCCTCTCTGTATCAAAAGTACAGCAAGCTCGCTGCAAAACCGTAGTCCCAGCTGACCCAATCGCTTGTACAAAGACCCAAAAGGCACCAAGGTAAATCGTCGATGTTGCGTTTGCCGCTGCGGCTTTTTGGGCTTCGGCTGTGCTCAACATTGTGGTCGACGTTGAAGTAGAGAACGCACCAACCTTGGGTTCGAATAGCAGGCTTTCCTCATGAGTGAGTACTGAATTATTCGGGTTCATCTTCTCGTTTTGATGATCATGGCCTCCTTGAAGTGGCACATAACGCGAGAATGCGAACTCTCCCTGATGTCCGCCAACAACATCCGCTGACTTCAGAAAGTTCTCCACTAGATGCACGATAAATGGCGGTTTCACGATGAGGAGGATCGCTGCGCAGTTCCGTGCCAGGACAAAGCCTTTTTGCTTAGAGTGATACGTCCAGTGAGGAGTACTGCTCGCCGAGAAGTCAAGAATCTAGTCTCATGCAATTGACAGTTATCTTGTGAAGTGAGCCCAATCTCTACAACTTCTAGTTCATTTAAAGGTAAAGCTACGACTTGTTATCCAAACCTTAATATAAGCGTCAAAACGTTCGCCTGCGACATGAAACGTGAGACTCATCAAGATGATCAACATCGGTTGAAGGCACTCTGATAGTGCTTGCCATGTTGCTACGTCAATGACCCGAAGAGCTTCCAGCGATGCCCACATGTAAAACCACTGAAGCGCGCCCATAGCGAAGAAAACTTGTGCAGATTTCCAACCGTTGCGACCGCCAGAGATTAGAAGTTTGAAGTTTCATCGACTTCGAAGTGTAGACGTTGATGATTTCCTTAACCTAGAATGTAGTATGACAGCCATAACAAAATTTTCATCCAGAACGAAGCCGATTTCAGCTCGTCCATCTTCTTCTTGTGTAAAAGCATTGGTGCGGTCTCTGGATCGGCAACCGAAACGGGAGTATCTTCGGCAAGTAATTGATACTCTTCAGCAGTCGTAGTCCTTCGAAGGGCCGTGAACTCCAGGTTTTTGATTTGAGGCCTCATCAAATCGTCGGATTCTTGCCTTTGCCGATTATATCTTCTGTACTGTTTCTCAACATCTCCCTCACTGTTCTGTCCATCTTCTTTTTCTTCTCGAAGACGTTGTAGTTCTTTCAAATAGGTGTCTCTTACTAGCCACAGAAGCAAGGTTGCACTACCGGCTAGAGATCGGACGAAATTCTGCGTATACGGCGTTTCAACCGCGTACTCGCCGCTCACTTTCGTTGCCATTGTGCACGCCCAAGATGTAAAAATGACACAAAATAGAAGCATCAAGACCTGTTTTTTCGAAGAGCGTTTGCCTGTCGAATCGGATGTTGGAGATCGCTCTGCTACCACCGCTGTTGCTGCTGTCCCTTCTTCAACAAACTTTCCACCTTCAGTCTCAGATACACTCCTCGAGTCTATTTTCTCCAGAAGAGGAGCCTTCAGGGGTGATTGCTTACTTCTCGTTCGTCCTTCTTCTGAACGTGCCACGGCAAATAAACTTCCTCTTGCGCCGCCTGGCGAAGGATCGAATGCACCTAGTCCAGTACTAGCAACAGGAGATCCCCTAGAAGGACTACCGGAAGGTCGCTTCTTAGAAGCAGGTCTACTATCTTGTTCGCGTGAAAACATGGAGAAAAAGTCCACGTAGTTCGATGCAAATGGTAAATTTGCTACACTTTCCAAACGCTTTCGCATCGCCTTTTCCTTTTGTATCTGTTCCTCTCGTTGCTGCAGTTCTAACCGATTCGCTTCCATTTCGGCGGCCAATAACGAGCCCGGTTCTGGCGCACTAATGGCTCGAATCAAAGGTCGAAAAGCGTCTGTTTCGGCCACTCCAGAGATTAATCTCACCGCTGGTCCTAGGAACATGACTGTCGCTGGCTCTTCTTCGGGGAATGCCACTCCACCTGGTGCTGACGCGCGTACAGGCGCATTGGTTCCTGGTCCCACTGGTGCAGCCAGGTTAGCACTTGCCCGAGCAAGAATTTGTTCACCTCCTACTTCATCATCGTGGTCCGACGAAATATTCCTATGCAGCATCGGAACCACTGCTGTACTGCTACGCACCAGCCCAGCTGTGTCAAAGGCATCCGGAACTAGTGATCCACTTGCAAGGTGACCATCCTGTCCGGGATTCAAGATGTCCGCAACAGCTCCAGTCAAGAACGGTTCCTTGGAAATTCCAATGTCGCGTTTGTCTTTCTTCGTTCGGCGTTGCGTTACAGTAGGCAAAGCGCCAACTCGAGTCAACGCACGCTCTACTTCTTGTGGGAAATCCACTAGCCAATCTCCAGACCCGAGGTATGAAGAGACGCAGGTAGAAGTATTAGTTGTCCTGGGTAAATCTTGTTGACGTAGTTGATCTCGTTCAGCTCCGGGTCCCAGAAAAGACAAATAAAACGTGCAGAACAAGGTGAATGCGCACCCTAGGATGAGATCAAACGTAAACGCACCCCATATTGCAGGTAGAGCGTCCGCTGCTTGGCCTTTGAAAAACTGAGTTACTATGGCAACAAGAGGTAAGCCAATCCCGTAATGCTGCACTGCGTAGATTATAGCGGTGTTTTTCTGACGACCCAGAGCTCGCCAGACACCGCTGAGCAGATTCTCTATTGCGTCAGGAAGAAAAGTGGCAGATAAAACAAGTGCAAAAACGTTGTAGGACACAGTTTCGACTATTTCGTGCTCACTGCTGCCGGAAAGGACGCCGCTTCCTACTGGGAGAGAATGGTGATGACGCTGTCCTCCTCGTCTTCCTGGAGTATCTAAGTCATCCACGCTGTATCTCTCAGCCAAAGACTTTGCTAACAAGGACAGCAAATTATTGCCGTCGAAGATAGGCAAGTACAACACCAGCTGCAAACTTGTGTAAATGAGCAAAACCAGACACACCAGGTAGACAGCTTGCGTCAAGGCACGTTCTGGGTGACCAGCTCCTAACGACCGGCCAACGACAAACGAGGCTGTAGTAACCAAACCCTGAATCACCATTGTTAGTAGAATGTACACGTTGTTGACCGTCGAGTGAATTGCCAACACCACAGCGCCTCCTGGTTTCAGAGTGGCGACGAACAAGGTCAAAAGCTCCCGGACCCACCATTCTGACACAGCCGCGAGCAGAGACGGAATCGCCACATCAAGGTACTCGAAGATTGCAGCCTTGTTGTAGACTTCTTGTGACGAAAAGTCCAAGATGGGCAAGAAATACAGCCAGGTTGAGACCGCTGGTTTTTGTGGTGTATCACTGGAAGATGTAATGAGAATCTTGTTTTGCTCAGAAGTCTTGACTGGAGATGCTTGTTCATCGTCTACACCATCTAGTTTTTCTTTCTTCCCCTTCTCGAATTCAGACGCCCGTTCGTTCGAATCCGAAGGCGTACTCTTGCTCACAGTCCTACTAGAATCGATACTATGAGAACGGCTACGCGCTGTAAGACCCACAACTGCCCGATTTGGAAAGATGTCTTGATCTTCGTCGTCCACACCCGTAGAAGCGAAGGGAGCAGTAGTCGGAACGACACGTGAAGATCCTGTAGTAGCTGTAGAGAGGTACCTCCTGCTCTCCCGTCTTCCCTGGTTTGCGCGAGCGGCCTCTAGTTCTTTGAAATAGTACTCAACTTCATTCGCTAGATCTGCGTCTTCTTCTATATTTTCCGCTAGTCCACGCTCAACCGGGTCTTCGGTAGTAGTCGTCTCGTCCGAAGATGAAGCCAAAAAAAGGGTTCTTTTCCTAATACTCCTACATCTGCGCAGAATAACCGTAGAAAACGCGACTGCATATAAGCTCCATGTCATTGCTGACGCCAACCCCATCGTTTGCGTAATGTTGGAGAAGAGAGAGAACCTGCGTCTCAATACTTCATCGAAAAAGCAGCACCAAACCGGATGCAGGACAACGATGATACCTTGTATCAATTTGACTCGCTTTGTTTCTCCAAACCCTGCTAGGAATTTACGACAAACATCAGCAACCGCGTATCCAACAATGCCCATGCCTTGAAAGTAGGCGTAGGAAGTGCCGAAACGGAGAGTGTCTACTTGTGTTCGCATACTAGTGTCTGGACCCATCGATGCTGAAGGAGAGTCACCAGGAGGTACAACAGGTCCCGTTGAAACTGGTGCACTATCATCTTGCACCCCCAACACCCAACGAAAAGCCGGTTCTGTGGTGAAACGGATTATCAGAAAAACAATCGGACAGTAAGCTAAGGCGACGAGTTGCGCTCGACTGAAATTCTCGTAGCACGCTCGGAAGTTCTGGGCTCCAAACGCGGCTGGCAGGTACGCATCGAGGCCAAGATTCAAGCCGATGATCGGTGCGCAGGCTACAATGTTCACAAAGGAATTCCCTATCGCCAAGCCCGCCACAGCAGCTGCCTCCTCACCACGATTTGCCAAGAAAAAAACGTACAGGAAATTGACTGTTTCGGGTAGTAGGAGCAGCAAATAGAATGAAATGTTCGGCACTGCGAGCGAGATTAGTTCCGGTAAAGCATCCAGGAACCCGGACAACCGGAAAACCGGTCGCCCGGCAGAAACCACGCTGGCAGAAAACATGTTTTTCACTTCGTTATTTTTGAGAGAAAAATCTAAATCACCCAGATCAGAGGCTCATCTGTATTTCAATCACTCAGCATACTACGCTGTCCCATACGACCATCATCACTGAGAATAACCGTTATAGTTGTCCTCCGTTTTCTCTTGTCTTTGATGGCTTTAGTGAATACTCATCCACTACGGCAACACTCGCGCCTCATAGCACAAATCCCATTTTGCGGACATGGCTGTCCTTTTCTACTGATACAGATTACACAGACGCATTGGCAGTAGAGATAAAGTCGATTACCCGCCGGGCACATTAATTTTTACAAAGCTTCGGTTGCTTCAGCAGCAACTTGGTATGCTAGACGTTTTCATAACGGCCGCGGCTCCTGCGTTTCACAACAAGATGGTATCTGAGCACCTTCAGTCTACAGCTATGTCATGAGTGTATCCCTGATGATGCTGTTCGTAGCGCCCGTGCTACAGCTAGATTAATGTTAATGTTTCTCAAACAACATGATCTTTTGCACAGAAACAATTGCAATTGCAAACAAGTAATCATGCTAATCTTCACGACAATGTTCTACCTACGTACCATCAACATGATGCTGGATTACTATGGACAGGATCATGAATAAACTTCGAAAAAAAATATGTCGAAGTCAAGCTCAAGCCCAACTTTTTGTGTTCATGTGTGTCATTGCATTGTGTTAAATACTTGTTCTTATTCCTTCGCAATAGATTCGACTTTTCTCCCACATCACTTTCCTTTCTGCAAATTTTCTTTGTGTGCCAGTAGGAATTCCCGCAGCCCCTGCCGCATCCTCGGGACCTCCGGATGCGTCCATTGTTGAAGACGGCGTAGCATCTTCTCTAGTAGCATTGCAACCTTGAATCTCGCTCGAGCCAGAATCACTATCAAGAAAACCCGACGTTTCTTTGTGGACCAGCAAGGATCGTTACTAATTTGCTGACTATTCTTCCGTCTGGATGATGATAAAGCAGTTGTTGTACGTGCTGAAAAAGTTGTTGTAGGGGATGAAGAAGATTCTTGCGAAGATGCACTGGTGCTAGCTGCAGATGAGGGAGACCTAGAGGATGGTGACTCTCCTTGTGCAACGTCTTCCTCGTCCTCTTCTTCTTTCCCCTTGTTCATGCAATACCAGTACCCTTTCTTTTGTAACCATTCTCTGATCACAGTTTCAAAGGGGTATAAGGTGAGTCCCAGCATGAAGGCTATGCGCAATCCAAACCTTGCGCTATCAGGCAACGATGGTGGTGCGCATAAAGAATTTTGCGCTGCAACCAGAATGGGAGTGAGCAGACTACTAGTCGTACTGGACAAAGATGTTGCACTTGATGCACAGTCGTGGTCCATGAAGGGCAAGGGAGGAAGCTGAACATCATGTTGACTAGTAACATTGCTCATGAGCTTATTCATTGGACTTGTTGATGAAGGCGAAAGAGAACAAGACACTGTTGCTGCGCTAGTCGTCGCATTTAGTGCATCTGTCGCAGTCGTTCGCAGCAATCTACTACACCCAAGGTCGACCATGCAAACGAGCAGTTTGCTTATTGGCGCTGCTTTGATAACTCGGAGCACGAATTCAACAAACGCTAAGCGCTCTTCCATGCTATGCAGGAATTCAACCCCGTCTGTCTCAAGCTGTCCAGCATGTTCTGAGGCATCATCATCTTGCTCTTCATCAGCTTGTAGTAACTCCACCACAGCTTCATCTACTGGAGTATTTTGTGGGACTAAGCCATTTATTTGAACAAGTTCTACAAGTTCTTCCATGGTATCGCCAGCTTGTAATTGAAAAGGATTTTCTCCGGGTGTTAGAAAAACTTCATGAAGATCAGGAAGCACATCTTCGCCGTTAATGCTACTAGTACCTCCTTCAAAACCAGAACCAGCTGCACGCGATGCTCCTACTCGGTCTTCTTCGGGATCGCCATCTTCATCGTGCCCACCGGAAAGCTGCAAGCGATTCATTGCCTCTGCAAGCAGCAAGTCGCTCTCTTCATAGAACAAATCCTCTTCAAGATCGCCTTCGAAGAAATGACCTTCGCCTTGATGAGGGGGATCAACATCAGCAGCATCATCTCTTGTTTCGCTCTCCATCTCCTCCACATCTTCTGGTTCATTAGAAGTAGGCGTACGTCGAGAATCAGAATCTATAATATCATCATCGTCGAGCTCCTCCGATTCCGTGATGCTTATGCTACTTATGCTCCCGCCACCATCATGATCTCCTCGTTCGTTACCGTTATTGTCAGTCGCATTATGGGAAGCCAAATCGTTGTGGTAGTCGAAAAACGACCCCTGTAGACCGTAGCTTGGATACACTCTCAGTCGTTCTTCCTTAGGTAGTTCAGATTGCTCCTGCAAAAATCTGCACAAGAGGTCTGGGCTCTGAAGAATTTGGGTATCAATTGCCGAGAGAGCACAGTCCAAGGCGTGTGTTTCAGTTAGGTACTGAAGAATCCCTTTCGTTGTCTCGAAAATCGCTTTTTTGATCCAGTGCTTCATATTAGTGCTCGTTGCTATTGATGATGTTGTTGTTGCTCTGGCTGTTGCTCCTTCTCGTACTGCCGGTTTGTTTGTGAAACTAGTACTATTATGGGCCCCATTCGCACTGGTATTATCATCAGGAGTCCATTGCTCTACTAATGTATCAAGCTCCTGTAGCGCTGCTTCAATAAAATTGTTGTCATTTTTCGCGGAACATGCGCAAGCACTAGTAAATGATGCTGTACATGCTCCCGAAGACGAACTAGAAGTCCCTGCAGTACATGAAGCACATTTTGTCGTCCTACTTTTCTCGGAGTCCTCACCTTCTTGTTGTAACTGCATAATTTTCTCCCTTACCTTCGATATTGAGGGAGATGGGAGCATACCGCGAACGCCCTCTGTCACACAGGGCACATGACATCGACCGATAGGACAGGTCAGTCGTTTCCTTCTGCCTCCTCGTCTTATCCGTGTACCCGCAGTGCCAGTGGGTGCAGTTTGAGTCCCGGTACCATCTGTGTCGCTTTCGCGATCATACAAATGCGTCCTATCAACATATTTTGCTACGCACTCAGTATGAAATCGATGGCCACATAGAGGAAAGAGTACCCATTGCGTCTCATATTCATTACCACAGCGTCTCTCCGTTTTCGGAGGTCGACAGCTTAAACAAAAGGAGCAAACTTCTTCTTCGGTCCCTTGCAAATAAGTGGCTTCATCTGTTGTCTCTTCGCCGCAACCTGAGAGGTGCTCTCGCACCGCCTCATTTAGTAGCACCAATCGATACAATTGACTTTCTCGTAGGTCTGGCGGAATTTTTGCGTTTCCTACCTTACTCGCTACTCCAGTTGCACAAGATCGAATCTGGTTCAATATCGAAGGTCGTGGTGGTCTTCTTGACGGCCTCGAACTTGGAGATGTGCTTCTAGGTGAAGAAGGCGATGCTGAAGATGTACTTGTACTTGAAGACGATGCTGATGGCGACGAAGGCCCTGACGCTGAGAGGAAACTTCTCAAATTTACGCCATAGCCGAATGTTGTAAAGAGCAACAGTTGCAAGAAGCAGATGGTGAGACACGACATCGTATTTTTCAGAGTGAATTATCCACTACAAACACTTGCAAACTGTCGACACTAACACAGTTAGTACTACGTTAAAAAAATCTTCTTTCGACGAAAGCAAAAAACTCTAAAGTTGAAGATGTGCTGCAAGATTACTTCCTCTCGAAGCCACATGCACACTTTGAGTTCCTGTATAATTTTGCTTTGAGTTCGGCTAGGAATGTTTCTGAGACGGCAGACCATGGAAAATTCGACGTACCTTTTTCTGGCATCACGATGTGCCACCCTAACATCAACTGCCTGTGAAGTGAAGGCTGTTCGAGAAGGTCGTTTTTAGACACTTACTTTTGCAACTTGTTGCACTTTTTCTTCAGAATTGACTTTTGAAAAATGATGTCGCTGCATACTGAGTTTGCATAGGTTCGGAAAATTTGTTGACTTGTTTCATGACTATGAGCGTTACACGACGGCATTGGTCCAAGACTCTTCAGTCAGAGGTGTTTCAGAGGCATAAGAAGGAACTCTTTTTTGCAACATACAACCTCGACTCAACAAACGATGACATCACTCGATCCAACGCCGTTACGATTATTCAAAAAACCGGAAGCACTCATTACTTCTTGCTTCTCTCGTCTCGCAAAGTCAGCGCATCATTCATTCATTCACTCATTCATTCGAACCACGTAGCAATTACAAGTAACTGCCTGGTTCCATTGTGACCCGAGTAGAATCACGTGGAATAGTACTCCCCTCTTCAGTTGAATGTCTTCATGTCTCCACTGTTGCGCGAGACGCCAAGAGTATTCGGCTTGCGATGGTTAGAGCGATCGATATTGCTGAATGAACGTAAAGCACAGCATCATGATTCATCGACAACTATTTGCCATTTTCATGCACTGAATCTGACAACTACTTTCTTAGGCCATAATAGTTCCGCTTGCCGTGCTTTTCTTCGAGTTGTGTCGAGACGACGATAAAGCCGAAGAATTTGCTGTACCGGACAAAGATATCGCAGTATTGGCTTTTTCTGAACGCCGCTCGCTGGGAGAGGAAGGCCGACCACTAGTGGAAGATGCTTCTTTCTCGCCTTGTTTTGCGCTCGCAGTTGTTACAACTGTAGATGCGACTTTTATTCCGGACACGATTACATTGGCCTCTCCTCCAGGTCCTGTCAAAGAAACCATATGATCTGGTCCGACCTTTGATGCAGAATGACTACTCTTCGACGACGTAGATCTCGTGATGATCGACAATGCCGCTGCAGGGCCACCACTAGACTGGCCACTTTGAAGCAATAAATTCGACTGCTGTGCGACCTGTGCTGTCGGTAACTGGAATCGCATGCCTTCTCCCATTTCTTTCTTAGAATCTATCAGTGAGGTAATATCTGAAACAAGGGTTCTACTTGAAGAACGATCGATTACAAAGGCATCTTGATCTAGTCAGTAGTTTCTAACTCCTCGTCGACATCGAGTCAGTCACACCTTGTGACTACATCGTACTAGCGACATCTTATGTATGACACTACAGAAGATCTAGGATTTTCTTCTAATTCTAGTATAAGTCAACATCTACAGATCATTTATAAGTATGTCGTCATAAGAAAACATCTTAGATCTATGTATCTGAGACGACTTCTTTGTTTGTTGTAAAACGATTACGTCGAGACGTTAGAGTCTTCTTTTCCGACTTCGCCATAAGAAAAAGGTCTAACTCCTCATCGACATCTTGCTCTGTATATCCCGTTCCTGCCAGCACTCGACGGAAATAGAAGCGCCACTCTTCTCGCGATATCATCCGGTAGCAATTAGAAATGAAATTCTTCTACAGGAGCAGGTAGAATTACTTATATGTATGCTCTTTCGGAGTTTCTTCTAGGTCAACATGGACGAAATAAAGTCTGAGCTTTGTCTCAATCTACTTAGTACAAGACCAGAGACATAATATCCATTAGGATAGGATAGGAGTAGGCTCACTTGTGAAGGAGTGAGCGTATAGGCAAGCTACGCCACCAATTTTCTGGTTCTGACTGTCAACACCGAAGCATGCATATGAGATCCATTGAAATTAAATGTGAGAGCTATAGTATCCGTGATTTAAAATGTATGACCACACAGTTTTATCAGTGATTTAAAATGTGAGAGCTATAGTATCCGTGATTTAAAATGTATGACCACACCAACATATGAGACACATTTATCCGTGATTTTCGTATGACCACACCGTGAGGACCATTCCCTAACATTATTCATGTCCATGTCCTCTAACAGCTTCTTAGCCGCTACTCCCGTGAACCGTCCGAACATCTGCAATGCCTCATCGAAGTCTACTTCTCCGCTTTCGTCAGTGTCCATAGTCCCGAACACAGCATCGATTTTCTCCAATAGGGGTGCAGAAATCCGCACCCGATTGGGGTCGCGACCCCTGTATTCGGAACCACAACAAGGAAACAACATTCCGTGCTGGTGATGTCTTCAGTAGTCCTTTAATCTAAATTTACTGAAACTACACAATGCTGTTTTCCATGACCGAAAGGATAGGACAGGGTGAAGCTATAGGTAGAACAGGGTGAAGCTATAGGTGAGCTGTTATATTATAATGATGGGTGAAGCTATAGGTGAGCTGTTATAATGATGGGTGAAGCTGTAGGTGAGCTGTTATAATCTTGTCGTAAGTTATACTTGTGGCGGAGCCGACCTAACTAGAAAAAAGAAAGACCAGAGGAAGATGTCGTAGGTTATACTTGAAAAAACTCGAAGGAGAATTAATTGGATAAGATAGCTAGTTGTAGGTTAGGTGTTGGATGCCTCCCCTGTGAAAACTTTACGGAATGGCACCTATACGAGCCGAGGATTATTCATTGTACTATTTCTAACACTTACGTGGTAGAGTCAGACTAGCCTTAAAAATCTGGCAGATAGGTACTTGCTCTTGCACGTCGACCACTAAAGTTCGTTTTTACTTGAATCTACTTAATGCTGCAGTTACTTACTACTTATTACTAACTTGTTAAGTACTTGTTCCTTAGCAAGATACTAGAGAATGCTACAGCTCTACAAGTCGAATCGCAGACGATGCGTCCCAGAGGCGCTGCGGGGAAGACATTTTTTCGCCTCTACGCCTTCTATGCTATCTGTGCATCGGGATTCGCTAAGTGAATTTTGCTCAAGTATAAACGCAAGGTGGAAGCCGGAATGGGAATACCAGGGAAAGGACGAATTGTAGTTGTAAAGTCGCATTCTACATTTCAACTCACTTACATTTTCCTTTCTGTTCGCTCGCTGTCAAGAGTACCTACACATTTTTCTGATCGAGTAGCAGAAAGTCTTCTGAAAACCGATAGACTTTCTGCTACTGCCAGCTCGTTGCGCTCAATCTTTTCTGTTCGGTCATTCTTTTTTTCTCGGCTCTGCTTCCGAGTTAGGAAGTGCAGCACATCCATGGTTTGAGATTTATGAGTGGATTTCAGGGGTGACGTATTTTAACAGGAAGTGGGGCGATCATCTAGTAAGGGGAACATCTTAGAATCTGTAGTGGGGAGACACGAATCGGGGTCGACCAATAGCTACCAATAGCGGTCCAAATTTCAGTCAGCTGCACAGGCTCTGGTTTATTAGCTTGCGACTGTTTCAGAGACAAACAGTCACGTTTTTTTCTAAGATGAATTTGAATAGTGGCAAATCGATGGGGAAATCACTTTCTTCCCCTCATTATCCGCTTAATCCACATCCATCGCGTCCTCATCTAAAGACGCATTGGCACCATCACCGTTGCTTCCATCAACACCGTTTTCCAGAACATCCTGAAACTCCTCTTCGGGACTTTCTTCTCCATTCTGAGGTGCACCGTCGTCGTCACCAGGCGGATCTTCTTCCACATTGTTCGCAAGATCCTGTTCTGCATGACCATTATTCCCATGATCAACATGGAGAAGGTCATCCTCTGCACCAGGCGCATTCACACTGTCTTGAGCAGCACCATTTGCAGCACCATTGGCTGCATCTTGCCTTGCTCCAGCATTGGCTGCACCATTTGCTGCATCTTGGCTTGCTCCAGCATTTCTCGGTGGCGGTGGCGCTGGCAAGTCGACGTCTTCTGCCCCAGCCAAACGTAGTGCGGCCAAGGGAACCATCCTCTCTTCCAGTGTGTCTCTTGCGATGAACCGCCACACGTGCACTGTCCGCTTCTGTCCATATCGCCTGATACGCCCAATCGCTTGTTTCTCGTAGTTCGCCCTTACCTCTTCTGACTCGTCCCAAAAGGGATGTACTAGAAAAACGTGGTTTGACTCTGTCAAATTAGCACCAGAAGCGGCGTCTTCCATCGACAAGATGAGGACTCGGACATCGTCTTTGAATTTGTTCAGAATAGCGCGTTTTTCGTGGACGGACCCCTGAAGGGTAAGATGCGGGATCTCGAATTCGACAAAGCTCTTAGCGATTTTCCGCTTGAGATCGTCCCACTGGACGAAGAGAATTACCTGTGTTGTATTCGTGATATGAAGATGCTTCCCAAGATGCTGTAGAAGTTTAGCTGCTCTATTGTTCATGTTCTTCCGTCATAAATACTAGCAGGAGAACGGAGCGAACAGTTCTTGACCTGAACACGTGATCATGGTGTCGGAAAAAGACGTAAGAAGGAAATCGAACAAAGCTACCTTCTCGTCGTTTGGCACCCTGTTTCGTAGTATGTCGATAATTTTCTTCAACTTCGATCGATGATTAGAGGAAGACGATGCTCCTACTCCCGAAATCCATTCCACTTCATTGGGAAAAAAGAGAGAGAGAGAGAGAGAGAGAGAGAGAGAGAGAGAGAGAGAGAGAGAGAGAGAGAGAGAGAGAGAGAATACCAGATGGATTCTCAAGCAAAGAGCAGAAGATGGATTTCTACTACGCTATTCCCTACTAGTACATTCCCATACATGCTAGTATTGATGCCATAACATACTTCCCTTCTCTGCTTTTATCGTCCGTTCTTTTCTCTAAAGCCGCATTCTGATTCTGGGCTTTCAAGTCCACCTTGCTGATGTCGTCCTCTCTCAACTCCATTCTGCAGCTTGGACAACTTCCCATTTGCGACTCTTAGAGTGTAGTACTAATCGAAAGTTCTTCACGGTACCTAAGAAACACAGTTGTTAAAAAACCTCCAGTAGATTCAAAGATGGTCAAACATCGAGCGTGATCTAAGTACTAGAGCTATGGTCAGAAAAATGCGTATGGGAATGCGTACCAACATTCATAACATTTCTGAGGCCAATCACAACTTTTGCGCATTAGACTTCATTTACTAGATCTTTAAAACGTATACCAATACCAATCCCAAATTCATAACTTATCTGTTGCGAAACGCATGCGAAGCAGAACATGTGAGAACAAGGCAGCAAGCCCCATTCATTAATGCCCTCATTCTCCAAACAAAAATTAGCGCTAGTTTTTCACTATGCCTGGTTGAGTGGGTTGCCCTCTGGCTCCGCAATATTCGTTCCCCTTGAAATCAAGGAGGACTCCACTCAGCATACTGCACATGGGATAGTGATAAACTAGCCTTAAAAATGGCGCACCCATCTTCAGGCGCTTCGCCATCACGGGCTTTGCGCAAGGTGTCCAAGGTACTCGCTAAAAAGTCGCGGTTCCTACATGCTGCTTTTAAGTCGTCAAATGCTTTTTTCTCGTTTCGCGTCTGCTCCTCGACCGCGGATTCAAATAGGTGCAGACTGTTCACACTGCGGTCTACCCGCAATCTGTCTTCGCCTTCTCGAGCAGCCAGGTTGATTTGCTCTGCGACGGGAAATGAAGGGCAGGCACACTAGAAGATCTGGATTTCTAGAATTCTAGCGCAGTAGTTGTAGTTGTGCAAAATGCTTGACGAGGACACCACGACTAGAAGTTCTTGTATATTGTTGAAAGGGCTAGAAGTTCTTGTATATAATTTATAACTAGTTCTTGTATAACAATCACATTGGCCTTAGAATTCAAGAAACTATTTCACTTCAAAGAAAGAAACTGGCTGTATCTGTGCAGAGTTGTATAACAAATACTTACTTACTTACTCTATCTTGTAATAATTGACCGAAATCTTAAGTAGGCCACCGCAGAACCTCCTGTGGGACGAGTGAATCTCTTCCCGTCCTTCGCCTCAGGATCGTCTATCATCTCCAAGTAGAGCCCAAGACGCTTGAATCGCCGATATCTCGTCATCCGCTCCCTCTTTTCCGCATTGGTGGCACCCTGTAAGGAGGCGCAGATTAGAGATGATGGTCCCGTGATTCTCGCCTCAATTCTGGCTTTCATTTGTTTACTATTATTATAAAGTTGTGAACCCCAGTTGCTGGGAGTGATCTTTTAGTGTGCTTGAAGTAGAACTTGGCCAGCAGAAGAATCGTGCGCTAAATCTGAAGTATAATCTACTCTCTTGGTTTCCACGGTGCATTCTGGACGCTTTTCCCTCGTGTAATTCATTGACATTCTATCAAGCTGCTGCTGCTAGAACAAGTTACGTACTCCTTGTTGCATGGGATAAGCCTAAGATTGTGGAGGTGAAAACTCTAGCCGGTTGTTTTACTTAGTGCTTTGAGCGTCGCGGGACCTAAACCTTCACCTAAAGGTGAAAGCCAATCAAGATTTGCGGCATTCATTCATTTACCTAACACGAGGTGTACGTCCAGAGCCTAATTAGAATGTAACACCGAGAAACAAAGACACGGCTCTTAACAACAAAACAACAACTTTAAAAACTCTTTTTGAAGCCATAAGTAGTATCCACGCAAGTACGACTCGATTTTCCGACAGGTAGAGCGGATACGGTTCACACATGCTTCAACCTTCTTTTCGTGCGCTTTCTTCAGTCGTCCGGTTTCATCCTCAGAATTGGGAATTAAAGTTTTGTAGTAGAGTCTTGTAGTAGAAGGGCTCATATAATTTTGGTGTATAGGTATAAGTTCAGAGGAAATGAGTGGTGCCGTCGGCTTGCCCAAGTTTCGTTACAGGACGAGAGACAATTATCTGTATAATAGCTTGATAGCATGACTTCAGATTCTCTCGCTTTCAGTTATACTCCTCCCTGACTGAGAGGGACAAAAAGACAAATAGACATTTTCCACGTAATTAGGGGTCTGGCTTTTATTTTTGAGTTTACTCGCTTATTTCAAGTTTACGAGTATTCCTGTTCCTGAACCCTTAAATGAAGATCATCCGCACTATGCTCACCTCGTTGAAAGTGAGAGCACATTCGCAGCAAAATTTCTTTTCCACTCTTACCTGCGGTGGCCAGGCTCTTCATCTCTTTTCGCTCTTCCGCTGTCATCGCAATCGCATCCGCTTGAGCTCCTGCTGGAGGTTAGAGGGGGGGAGAGAGAGGGAGAGAAAGAGGTGGGAGGGAAATGGACTATCTAAAAGAGCGAGAGAAGGAACCGGGGAAACACATGAGAAAAGAAGAAAGAGGTGAAACTATTAAAACGAGCGAAACTTATACCGCACAAAACTACTTGTACGCCATAACCGGCTCCTTGTCCCCCATCCTCCGCAAGTAGGTCCGCGTCACCTGCCACGTAGCGTTGCTTGCACGACAAATAAATCGCGTACTCATACAATGACATTTCCACATGTACCAAATGCGACTCTTCTACGAAACTATGAGCCGCAACTGTATTACTGCGCACAAAGATGTCGAATGCCCTTGCTGTGTCCTGCACCGGTGCCAGAACGCTCTTCCCGTAGGTGAAGAAACTGAAAAATTGGTTCCAAACGGCGCGATTTTCTTTGGGTAAAGTGCCGCTCAAAGCCCATCTGTAGCTAGAGCGGATTCTTTGGAGGCAGATGAGAGTGCGGCGACCACGATAAAACGGAAGCGGGGAGACTGTGGATCCCTTTTCAGACGATTTCCGGCTCAGCGTGGACGTGGAGGTGGTGTAATCTGGTCGTGGTAGGTTGTGCATAGCTGGGTCTTACACCGATTTCTCTTCATCTTCAAAGAAGATTACTTATGTATCAAAAACAGATATCAATGAAGATGCTACTTTACCTGGCTCTCATTCATTTAGGGGTCTCCTATGATGAATCCGGAAGAATTTTTACTCAAGTACCTGTCGGAATTCCTTGAGCTCTATCCAACGCACGCGCATCGGCAGGCTGTTCTATACGCAACGGTGAGGGCCGATATTGATTCATTTCCGGGTGGTACTCACTGGCTTCGTGCAGCTCATCAGCTACCAAACGACGAAAGTGAAACAGCTCCAAGACGGGGAAAACAAAAGCTCCCTGCACCTCGTCTCCGCGATAGCGTTGAATGCGTTGCGCAACCCCACGTAGAGCAGCAAAGCGGACTTCAAATTCACTTTCCCACAGATTCGATCGACTCCATCGATGCCGTTCAGTGGGTAGGTCTTTGACGTTACGATTGTTTCTATTGGCAGGTTCATCGATACTTTGATCGCCGTTAGCGGCACTCTGACCCAATCCTCCCTCTTCTTGTTTTACGCCAAAGATGTTCATATTCGCGGAAGAAGAAGTGCTATGCTTCATAGTTCCAGGGAAAAGCTGGCCTTGTTGTTCGGAACCACTTCCACTTGAGTCACCAGTATAGTGGTTAGAGCTTTTTGTTTCTTTGCCGTTCAACTTTTAGGCCAATATCGCCTCCATTACTGTGATGCTGACACAGCAGAGACGTCCTGCTCGTCCCGCTCTTCTGTTGAAAAAAAATCAGAGAGACAGTTTCATCTCTTTGGACAATAGCAATGAATAGGTCTCTGTACTCAACATTATTTTCCACCCCTGCTGAATCTACTGATAAAAACAAAAGACATAAGTATTTTGCGAAAAAGATTCATAACTTTGTTGTCATTATAGCACTCCGCCATGAAACTGGCCAATTTGCCCTCCCTTTGCGCAGCACTTGCCCTGTAGTACCCCAGCTTATTCGAAAACCCGATTGCCAATTCACGCACCCTTGCTTTATAACCAGGCGAGTCGAAGACTCGCTCACAGCAGAGGACCACATCGGCCATCTTGATCTCACGAACCGTTAATTTTTTCAGGTCGGTGATCGTCGCGATTTGGATATTAGAAAATGCCCGTAGACTATAAGGCAGATGAAGATTGTCTAATAAGGACGAGACTAATAGTAGTAGCACGTTATACAACAATACAGAAGTAGCGGCCAAGGTCCACTCATCAGATGATTCTAAATACTTATACAAGCCCCTCAACCAGTTGAATAATTTGACAACAAATTCGCCGTGTTCCCCAACCATAATGACCAAGATAAACTCCGTTCCTGTAAACTGCTCGATCTCCTCATGCCACTGGTTTAAGAGGTGCGAAGGCATCACCACCAACGTTGCGCGACTCGCAATAAAAGCGGGGTCGTCTGGTGGGAGGACTGGGGTTAGAGTGGTCCACGCATAGCGCTGCGAAGCTAGCACTTTCATTCAAAGGAAGTAAGTATCTATTAGTACAGATGAAGGAACGACAGCTTTTCTCGACGTCACATACTCACGATGGTGCAAGCGAGAGAACAACTCGAGTGCAAATATCTCTACAGCGATACTCCCGCCACATAAATTCTGCTTCAAGGTGCGGTCGGTTAAGGCGATCGCAAGGCACGTCTTTCCGTAGCCAAGGTTGTCGTTTAGTACGCCACCACGGACCCGCATTTTAGGTCCTTCTATACGCATTTCCACGAAGTCGCACTTTTGGTCAGATACTTTAATCCTTGCACCTTGGGCGCTTTTGTTCCGGTAATAAAGCTTAGAAACCTAATATTGTGTGGAGTTGGAGTGTGTGGGAGATGGAGAAAAAGAAGAGTGTTATAGCTGTGAAAAGTGGGAAACTATAAGAAGTTTAGGCTAATTATAGGGGTACAAGTAGGTATGAAAAGTAAAAGCCTAACAAAGTGGAAGAACACAAAGTCGCTCTAACTACTGGGTACGATCCTTATATATGTAAGTATACACCTGAGCACTCAGATCTTCGGGTCTTCACATTCAATAAAGTCTAGACGAGTCTGGTCTTCCATAGGCGCCATAAGATCCGTCAAGTACTCTGCATAGCGCCTTCGAATTTGGTGAATAGTGCGCTCTTGGTTCGCTTTTAAGAGGGCCTCAGATTCTTGCTGGTCTTGATTCAATTGCTGCTGACCAGAAATGTTAGAAGAGGAGAGGCTAAGGCTTGTTGTGTAAACATTGTTATGATTCTATTCTGTGCATCCCTAATAGGCAAATAGCACCGACCTATGAATGGTGTTGATCCTTTTTGACAAATTCAAGTTCAACTAACATGGATGAAACCGAAGAGAGATAAAGACCTTCTCGTTGAACTTGGTTCCTGAAGTAAAAAAAAAGTAACACAGCACCACATTGCCAACGGCTGCAAATCGCCTTAACATTGCAAATGAAGTGATCCAAAAACTCCTTTCGAGCTTGTAGCTTGGCCCCCCATACGTCATTGAGAGAGCATTCTTGGGCTTGCGGGTCAGCTCCCATGTGTGCACGCATTGCCCGTTTTCTACCTTTAGAAGTGAACACAGTTCTTCAGGATTCCTATAATTAATCACCTCACGTGCTAGCTTTGTCCTGTGAATATATGGCTCAACAGGGATCCCCACAGGAATGAGTAAGACATGTTGTCCTTAATGCGTCTGCGCGCTTGCAGCAGCGCTCCGCGGTCCTCGCACGTGCACGGCTGAGCATCCTCATCTGCGTCAAATATGCCGGACTGACTGTAAAACGCATAGAAATTGATTTTCACTTCAGGAGTGAACGCAGAAGCCAGTCTTCTGTCTGCCTCTGCGATGAATTCCTCTGCTGGTTCTCGAAACAGCATCCTGGAGGCGTCAGCGAGGCCAACGGCTATACTTTCCATGCCGATCAGGGCAATGCATTTCTTTCGGAGGTCTCGAGCAGTTTCGAGCTTGTCCATGGCTGACTGCAGACGCTTTTCCATATTCAGTTCTTCCCCCGTTATCACAGGCATTAGAGGAAGGAGAAAATTCCGAGTCTTTCTTCTCACGCCTATCGCACTTTGATAGGGTGAATGAGGTATGAATTTGTTGAATCTCCTATTCACTAACCACGGAAATGGGGAAACTGGTGTCTTCGAGACTGACCTGGTTACATCTCTGTTCTTAATGACAGGTCTCGTGGACATGGTTCCCGCCACTCTAGGTTGGCAAGCTGCAGGAAATTGGTGGTGCTTTGTTCCTGCCGGATCATCCAACAAAGCTCACGCAACTGTTCCGGTCGTAGCTGAACTTAGAGTCTACAGAAGTGCGGCGTAGGTCTAAGTAATTACATGCACGCACTACTCGAGAAGTGTCCTGTACCTCTAACTACGTACAACCAGCGTAAGAAAACGGCCCAGGATGAAGGGCTTGATTGAGTTGTAAACAGGAGAGCGTCTCCGTCTGTCTGTCCTTCTACTTCTAATGAGAATATAAACTCAAACCCTACGCGCATCACCACTGAAAGGTGGGATCAGTAATCCAATGAATTCAGTATTGCATCCATAATGATACTCCCGCTGTGTGAAATGTCGTGGCTGCGCCGCTTCCTGGTCGTCATCGTTAGTGCGCGCATTCAGTGACACACCGTCAAAGGGAGCGTCGCCTCCCTTCTGCGTGGTCTCATCCCAGCCGGACGCGTTCCCGGAACTCGCTGCCTTCTTCGTACAGTTACCCAAGGAGAGAAAGCGGTCTGGTGGAGGGGTTTGGTTTGTGTTGATAATCTATAAAGGAAGCGGCCCGTAGTTTGAAGGACATGCCAAAGCGCGAAAATCGACAAGGGCAAGTAGAGAAACCGGCGGCAGCAGAAGACACCACGCCGAGAAGCAGAGGCGCCCGAAAGAAGGTCCTCAGCCGCTCCCCCCCTCTGCAACTGCCTTAAGGCGCGCCGGCCTACTAATGGATAACAACACGCACTCCACTGCCGCCGGTGGCATTCTTCCGACCACTCTCTCAGCGGCTAAACAGCCACAAAAAAAAGAAAGACAGAAGGAAACAGACACGCAAGCACGACAGACTTGCCCATCCCCGCCAGGCGACCACACTCCCCAAGGCCGGCGGGCATGACCCCGCAGAGGCCCGCGCGAAGGGACGCAGCGAGCGCCCTCTTCGATTAAGGCGCGGGCCCTCCAGCTCCGCGGCGCTGCCGACGCCCGTCGAAATGGCCCGGCGGCGCTCCCCTGTTTTGCTCCTGCCCCCGGGCCTCTGCACGCCGCTCCCGCGGTGCCCTGTCGGCGGGGCCCTCGTCACCCTGTTACGAACTGGGGAAAGCACCTGCCCCCACGAGTGAACACACACGGAGCAAGCCCCAGCGCAGCAGCCGCGTAGAGCAACACAGCCGCGGAGCTTGCTAGTGCGGGCCTCCCTCCCGCCCGGTTCTTCACGCGGTTGGCCCTCGAGCTTCCCCGGCCATGAAGGTGCGCTTCTCACTTGGATTGGTGGCCCCCACCGCTTCAAAGCCTCTCACCGTCGGGGCCGGCGCTGTTCGATCGCTCAACAGGCTGAGGCGGCCCCTCTCAGCAGCGCAACGCCTCGGCCACCCGTCGACGGTCATGCAGGCCCGCGCAGCTGCCTGGGGCTGTAGGGGCGCGCCCGTCTACTGGGGCGCAAAACCGTCGCCCAGGCCTGCTCTCTTGCAAGAAAGACCACGAACACCGCCGCCGACTGTATGCTTTGCAAGCTTGCCCCCGCTTGGTCGCGCGCCGTGGAATAGAATTGCCCATGGATTGCGCCGTGCCTCCTGTTGTCGCGGCCGCAATAGATTCCGCATGGAGGGGCCAAGCCTGTCGACTGACACTCTTCGACAGTTGGCCGGGCGACACCAAACCGAGTAGGCCCCTGGCTGGCCCCGGTATTAGTCACCTAGCAGGCCCTTCGTCCCCGTTTTTTCATGTGCCTGAATTAGTGGGGCGCCATCTTCGTCGGCCGAAGGTGTTGAAGCTGCTGCAGGCTCGTCGCGGCCAGCTTGCTCGCCAGGGGCGGCCCCGGCCTGCTTGGTGGCCTCCCTGTTGGTCTTGGTCAGGTCTTGCGTGGTGCCCTCTCGGGGCGCTGCTGGTATCGCCGCTCCCCTCCTCGTGGTGCCCTCGATGTTGTCGACGGCGCAAAAAATCCGCACAGACGTAGGCCTACGCAAACTACCTGACAAAACCACAATCCTCAGCCACCGTATTACCTGCCTTTCCTCCTTTTTTCTTCGCTTTCGCTTTGGCCGTTTTCGTTGTAGTTATTGGTGGTGCTTCGAAGTCGTAGACGCTATCACAGTAGTCGCGCAGCTGCGGCCAAGTCTTCGACCACGCGTAGGCCTGAGAGAGCTCGGACGGAATATCTGTAACCCGTCAAGACTTAGAGGGAGTCGCTTCGGACTGTTCCTTGGTATCTGATGTGGCTTCCCCTCTTGTTTCCTTTACAATTATATCGCCTCTCTATCATAGTTGATTACTGCAGCAATGTTTGTGTTCTACCCGCGTTTCTCTCCCTCCTTTCTCGTTCTGGTGATAGCGGATTTCTATATGCAAATCTAATATTCTATTGAAAAGTTGTACGAACATCATATAGTACAACAACAGTAGCATACTCCTTAAGGTAACAGGTCGCGCCGGCAAACGGCGACGGAACCATCAACAAGCCAGAGGCATGATCCCTTAGGTCTTTGTCACGAAGAATGCGCCAGGCAACGCGAGGAGGCTCCGCGAAAGCCATATACGGATCATACCCACCGTAAAATCCCTCACAGAGATATGAAGGCGAGGTCGTCCTATTATAAAGCTTACTCATGCTTGTACTTCTCCGAATAGTCGCAATATAAAGCGTACCCATGTTTGTCTACTTCTCAGATAAATTTTTCAATTGGCAACCTCACTGACATGCGACGACAGGGGTACACTCTGACAGCTATCAAATGCGAACATTATTTTTATTCGAGTAGGAATAGGAAGCGGAAATTACCTAGAAGATTCTCAAGTTGGACTCAAATGTGCAGAGTAAGCTTTTGTTTCCTCTGTAATCATAAGAGTCCTTTGAACAGCAAGTGTGGCGAAAATCCCGTCAGTTCAGGCAGTCCATGCTTTTTAGCTGGTGGCTGAAGGTTTGGTGGCATGCTGGAAAATTAGAGAGGTAAACTTAAGTATCTCACCTGATGTAGCTAACGCTGATGAAGACGAATCTTGCTCTTTTAAGAGTGAGTCAAACCTCAGTTCTCTCACTTCTCACACTGGAGAAATAAACCTGCACAAAGACTTCTCCTTTGCCATAAGATGATGAAGATGACGAAGTTCCCACAGATGTTCCAGTTGGTGTGCTAGAAGACGGTGCTGTGGTATTCGTACTAGCATCCACCTCGTACCGCCACATTGCATCCTCATAGAAGTCTCTGGCTAAAACGCGAGACACATCCAGTTCCGGCACACCCTGTGAACGTAAAAAACTTCTCCGGTCTTTATCGGAGAGATACTCTTGGGTGAAGTTCTCCAAATCCGCAATAGCTGCGCACGTGTCGCCAAAAGCCTTGACCTCCTCAGCTGGGACTTCATTCCACGTTTTCGCTTCTGACTTCGTTTTGGGCGTGGCGGGCCAGTCTTGGTAGAGACTATAAGAAGATGAGCCAGCGGATTGCAATCCCTGTGGACGACAAGAAGATGAAGAAGACGAAGAAGTACTACCAAAACCTCCTCCTGTGTTGGCACTAACTCCCAGTCCACTTCCTCTTTTAACACGTGCACGCACAATAAAAGCCTTCAATGCCTCTGCTTCTTTACGATCTAAAACTTCCCCGTCTACTCCTGCAGCTCCTAAGAAGGCACTACTACTAGAACTAGCAGCAGCCGTTGAGGACGTCCACAGAAGTTTCGCTTCAGTGTCATCTTGCTCCACGCTTTTCGCTCTACGGAGTTCATCTTCCCTGGCTTTTTCAGCGACTTTGGCTGCGTGGGATTAGAGAGGGCCGTCCTATTGTGTATCATGTCTGCTTCCCCCTTGAACCGAGGAATACAGTGGGAGTCGAGCCACTGAATGAGCGATTGATCTACGCATTCAGTTCTTTACGCACACAATCAAAGGGACGAGAATGTTACTACAGGTAGCTCTCACATCTAGTTCGTTGTGAGTATGCTAAGTATGAATTGACTTCTTCTGTACTACAGTCTCATGCCTTAATCAAATATCTCGCTTTTAAAACTGGGCCCCATGTCATCCAAGTCCATGGCGATGTTCTCCTTCACGCCGTAGTTTAAAGGTTAGCAATCAGTGGTCACTGCTTCTGAGTGAGAAGGGCCCCACGCCTCTCCCTTTGTTTTCCCTTCGTTTTCCCCTGTTCTCTCAAGGTGCCCCTCTTCGATCTCAGTGACTAACCTCAAGGACCAATGAAAGCTGAGCCTTAAGTAGTCTTCCCTGTTATCGTAAAACCCTTCCGCGACATCCACGTGGACGTCGCTAGAGAGCATGATACCTCCTCCACTTGATGCCTTTGCTTTTGCGCGTCGTTTCGCTGCTTGTTTTTTCTTATGCTCCGCTTTTGTACCGTGCATGCGCACATTATCTTCTTCCAAGACGGCATCAAAAACAGAACGCTTTATTTGTTTATTCCTAGAAGATGTTGTGCTAGTGCTAGTACCGAGACCGGCATCTTCTCCTTCTAAGCAACCAGCACTACCATCCTGGCACTTGGTAGTCGAATCAGAGGAGGAGCTTACTTGTGCCCCACGTTTAGTCCCACCAGCGCCACTACCACTGACACCACCGCCAACTTTTCGTCTTTTCGCATCGTCCCCTCGGTCGTCCTCGGAATCGGAGGGAAGAAGCCTGTCCTTATTCCCCACTCTGCGCGGCTCTTCATCTGAGCAACGGGCGATCTCGTCATCGAGGCAATCCAATACCTCATTCTGCAGGCTGGATGAAGCGGCCCTGAAGCAGATTCAGCTTGTTTTCAAGAATTGTGAGCAATGTAGATGCGCTTATCAAGGTACTATGGAAGAGAGAATCACTGTCAGGTCTCTGTGTCTGCAGAAATTAAAATCTCAATCCATCTTCAAGTTTTTACAAGCCATTAGTATTACTTAAAGCACATCATTATAACATATATCACTGTCATCATCTTATACTGCCCGCCCAGCCCCATGCCGTCGTCATCAAAGTAAAAGGCATCCTCCATAGAACCGAAGTCATCGTTGCCCCAAAGCTCTTCATCCCCAAAAGCCTCCACAGCCACATCTTTTGAACTACATGCAGAAGTATTGTTGGTCCTAGTTTTTGACTTTGCATCAAACTGCCCAACATCACGGCTCGAAGTAGCTCCAAGACCAAGACCATGTCCTTCTCCATCTACAACATGATCAGAGGACTTCCTATTCCTTCCAACATTGCTTCCATTATCACCACTTATTAGACCTCTTCCTAATTCATCCCTGTGGAAATCTCTCAAGCGTATGCGTCAGCATCTTCCTGGTAAGAATAGGACTACTGCAACCCGTGCTTAGAAATGGACCCCAATTATAAGGCGAAGAGCTCAACATTTCAATTGTGTCGGGGCGCATACGGTTGAGGGATGCCTATAGAGATGGATTAACGGTAGCCCTAAACTTATTTTTCCGTCATCTCCACTGCCTCCTTCGGAAGGCCCTGCATTCCTCGCTGCCCTCTTCCGTCGATCCTCAATGCGTTTTTGCCTAGCTTTCTCGTCGTATGCTTCTTTCCATGCTTCATCCGCCAACTCAAATTGTTCCTTCTTCGTCATGCTCATCGCATCCAGGTTACTCGGGTCCAGGAGGTCGCGCAAGTAGTCAGCGCGAAACTTCTCATACTCGGGACCCGAGTAAATGTTGTCTCCATTGTCTGGAGGAGGACCCATTTTTTTTTTGCCAGTTATTGTTATGATCGTGACTAGTTCTAGTAATCGGAGGGGCTGTCGTAAACAATGTTTACGACTAGAAGGGAAAAATGCTGTTTTTGATAGATATTTTTTATGGTACCAAATTATGGTACCAAATTATAGTACGTGCTAGTGTTAACGATGCACAGGATGTGGAAAGAGCAAAGGGAAACTTGTCTCCTAAAGAACATTGCCTAAAGAAACTTGTCTCCTAGGAGTAAGCTACACTGTAATGATGGTTCCATGTTCTTAAGGAAAATCTACTGACCAAATAGTAACCTCCGGTGCAGCCCTTTGGCTCCCAAAAGTGTGTTGAAGGGTCAAATTATTTTTTTGAGTGTGCTTACTTCAAGTCAATGAAAAAGTGATGCATACCGCTCAATAGACAAAAATCTCACCATCATCAGCTTTGTTTTGTTCGATCGTGTAACTGTTTCTGTTTGTCATCTAGATCAACGTAAAACAAAGGAGAACGAATGGGCAGACGATATCAACAGACTAGGATCCTAAAATTTCTACGTTTCAACCACAATTTGTTCCTAATTCAAGGTTTAAAAACAACAATGCCGGCGCAACGAGGTTCAACGAACAGAGTTTGAAAAGTTTTTGTTTCAAATCTTTTCTGCAGATACTTGCTTCTTTCATTACAACAAACTGAGCTTCTCTCTTAGAAATTCTAGCTTCTTCATGAGACATTTGAGTTATGACGTACTTAGCACGATCTCCGTGGTGTTTTAGTGTTGTCGCTACCGAAATTCATGCATCTGCGGCCAGCTCCGTGCAAATCCGGTCTTTCCGCCCTCGATGTCTGAGGCACAACAACAGCAGTGATGTCATCACGGCAACAGCTTGGCTTTACCTGCCCCTTCACAAGACAGTGGCAGGGTGGGAATCTGTTCATTTTGAATTTGGACCCTTGCTAATAAATGTTTTTCACGTACATAACTGTCGAAGTGGTGAGGTTGCAAGATTCATTCGGACTCTGCTTTTCTGTGAGTCAACTAATCCTCAGTCATTCACAGCCTAAATATCGCCTCTCCGCCGCTAATATCAGGTCAGACAATGTCATGTCAGGTTACCTCGTGACCCATCCTATCAAATGGTATTGAGGTTGCTTCGGCCTCCCTGTACCTTCTAGTTAGAAGAGCAAGGAAACCGAGTGATAGCCTATCAAGTCTAACCAAATCAACAACAAAAAACTGTATGATAGATCATGAGACGTGACCTCAGTGATCTTTCTCTTTGTCGCCGGAGTTTCTAATCAAAAAACCTCAACCTACTAGTACAAAATAAATTCCTACTACTCGAAGCAGCTCCAGCTCATCATATGTTGTTGTAAAAATGAAAAAATCCTCCATACTATTACTCAACATATATTCCACCAACTGCAAATGTTTACATGCGTATAGCACCTCCAATACGTCTCAATTTTGAACCCGAAGCGGCAATACTACTGCACGCGAGCGAAAATGAATAGCACGCACCAAGCAATTAATTGAGCATAGAATACAAACATCGTTGGAGAGGTACTCGTTCTCAAGAATTCTAGAATTTCAAATTCAAGATCCTTGTTTTGTTTTCATACTCCTTGAACTCAATGTCAATCATAATCTTTTTTAGACTGCCTACTTTTTGTTGTGGACATGATTTGAGTAATTATGAAGATCGATTGTAACAATGTTGTTGGTGTCTATTCAATGAATTGTGGTTTTCCATCTTTATCACCGTTTCCTCCGCAGGTCCTCCTATGACGTCGGCGCCACCGGTGAAAAGCCACCTCCAGCACGATACTGATTCACAATAGGCGATGCTCCTTCCATCTTCTTCTTTATCCTGCTTGCAAACCCCTTCTGCGGTGCTGACACGTGATTCGGCGAATTTCCGCCATTCCACGTTGTGCTCACCTTACAATTTGTACCCAGGAGTGTGGCACTTGTCGGATCAACCATGCCTGAGCCAACTCCGACTCCTGGTACACCAGGATCACTCCTGCCGGTCTTCGAGTTCTTCCTCGAGGAACCTCTGTGCTGTCCTGGTGAACTACCTCCTGCTCCACCTCCCACTGTACCGAAGCCTTGCTGTTGTGCATCAGGGTTGTAAGGGGTCCCGTTGTATGTCGTCACGCCTGGCATCATACTCGGAAAACCTGGCACATTCTGACCATTCGGTGTCTCCGCGCAGAAAGCGCCGGGTATTAGAGAAGTCAAAAAAAACCATGAAAGCGCGATTATCACCGAATTCAGCATTGTGAATTCGAAAGACACAAGACGAAGACACTACTAGATAGATAGATAGGTTCAAATCGAATCTTTTGGCAGATGAATACTTGTGAAAATGTCAAGTTCAAGTTCAACATGTGTTATAAATCCTTCAATCCATAAATTAATCGTCGAAGAGCCCGTCGACGTTGAAGGAAACTGTTCGGGTGCAAAGAAGCGGAAATCCTCACTGCTCGCTTCCCACTCAGATCTCGCGACGCCCATTACCAAACCTGAAGCCTCTGGATCATTCGTTGGTTTTGCTTTCAACTGCTCCTTCTCGCTGTTGGCCATCTGTTTTGTTGGGACGATGTACCGGGTTGTAGTTTTTTTGATTCAAAATGAATGGAGTTGTTGTTGGAGGGACAGATTTTTTTGATCGATTGAATAAGGGTGAATAGATGAAAGACAAGACCAGTTGATACAGTTAAATCGATGTGACACATAGGAATTGGTTGTGTGCATGCTTAGGTTTAGGTAGCGCTAACCAGTATTAGCTTGGATACCAACTGAATGAACTCCAAGATAGTACTACCTTGAGAATATGATTCCCATTCTGGTCGACGGACAGGGTTCCCCAGCCCCAAACAGTTGCCATTTTTACGTCTCTTTTGTTTTATTGAAGCGCAAACAATACAATGAGAATGACAGAGGGAAAATTTGAGTAGAATCAAGACGAGGAACAAAAGATCTACTTAGTATCAGTAAAAGGGACTATGTATCCTACTTATATCAAAATTCAGATATCATCAATCAAGAAAAATAACTCTGGAGCTCTTACTATTGATGAACAAGAAATTTGTATTCAGATACAAGAAGAATTCATGCGGAAGCGCGTGGTTCGTTAACAAAAAACCTGCACACAACGCAACCTAAGCGAGCTCAAACGAGCTTAAACGAGTAATACCTTCGTGCACGGAATCAACGAAGAGAATAGGGCGGTAGGAATCAGTAGGTAGCCTCAACAAAAAGGATATGTATAACTAAGACTGGTGAGGATAAGGAAATCTAGATATCACTACTAAGACAATCAAGGGACGAATAAGTTCAAACTCGGTTTTTTAAAAACAAAGGGAGGACTACACTAATGAGGATGGGATTCTGAAAAAGGGGCGCTGTTGTGTAAGATGAAGTCAAACGATGAGATATTCAGTAAAAGCAATCAGAAAAATAAGCCAAAGATTCTTCTTTTCCAAGCTGATGACCAGACACCAGCATGATCAAGAGAAAAAGCGTTTCTTCTCAAACTCAGACTGAACACACGACAGAGGATCTTCGCATATTAAGCAGGCAAACCTCTCAGAGCAAATGAACACAAAATTCAGAAGGCAGGTCACTCAACTGAAACAGATATTGCTTTGGATTCTCTCGTCGCCTAAACACAGAACTCTCAATCTCACAGACAAATGCTCTCTAGGCGTGCGTGCAGGATCATTATCTTTTTCTTCTTATCAAAGCCACTTGACGCAGGAGTAGCACATTTTCTCTCACAACAGATGAGGAAAGGGCACTCCATAACAGAGACCACAAGAAAAATTCTTTTCCTTACTGCAACTAAGCAGGCAAACGTCACTCAACCGTGCGCTATTTTTCGCAAGCATCTCCTGTTCACGTTCTTTCAAGAGTACTATAGAGGGGATATTCATTTCTTCTATGCATCCACCAATATCAGTCAACTTGGTCTGGAATTATAGTCATTCTGTCTACAACTGTCCAGCAGTTGTCTTTTGGAAACTCTGTTATGGACCAACGCCACTGGGGATTCGTAAGACAGCAGACCACACATTTTTACTCTATTTGTTGTAATTCTGTGCAAGTCATCGAAGAGCATAATTTCGTTGCAAACTTCTCAGCTAGAGAATGTTATACTATGTATCGTTCGACTTGTTCGTTAATTAATCAGAATCCAATAGGACCGAACCCTTCGACGAAGAAGGTCATAAAAAGTATGCTAAATGTCATTCAGATGTTGTATTTGTAAAAATTCGGCACATAATAATGTCCTAGAATTAGCGGGATACTCTAAGTATATGCGTCGGAAAATCAGCAGTTGGCCGAGGAAACGAAATAACCTTATAATTATTGTCTTTGCCCAGCACCCTTGCCAAGTCTCCCACCCGTTCCTCCTCGTACCATGTCCATCATATCTTCAGTGTCGTTGCTCCACTGCGAGTCCGTGGTACCCATAGATGACCTTGCACTATTCGCACCAGATATGCTCTGCAAGTGTACATCGATCAAGTCCGCTGTACTTCTCTCGGATCTGGCACTAGTGCGGGCACTGAGGTTGTTGGGGTCTCTGCTGGAGTTGAGTCGGGAACGGGGTCGACGGTCGTTAGGTGAGGATGACGAACCTGCTCCACCGCGATTACTACGACTACGACGCCGACCACTAGGAGTTCGACCGTCTGGAGTTGCAGCTGCAGCGTTTCTCGAGCTAGGGTCGTTGTTTCCAATACCCATTTCTTCGAGGACTTGAGCTCTTGTTGGGAAATTGGCGAAACTTGAACGGCCTGAATCGGACTCGTTCCAAGCAAAAGATATATCTCTTCTACCGGCGGAAGGTCTCGTGTTCTCATTTTGGTGACTAGGGCCACTCGTTCCGCTACTACTCGGTTCATTCTCGTCCCGATCAGCACTAGCAGCTCGATTAGACCTGTTCGGTCCGTTGTAGTAGATATTTCGTCTGCCTCCTACAAAAGGTGACGATGCGCGACCCGGTGCCGGTGCGGCCTCATTGTCTGCTGCGGCTCGCAAGTCACTGTGCAAACGCTGATGTCCTGGCCCAACACCTCCACCATTGTTCGGAGATGACCGGGGCTCTGCGACTCTTGGGGGTGGTGGTACACGCAAGTTCCTCTGACTCGACGGAGATGGTGGTACACTAGAAGATCGTGGCAGAGACGTCGTAGCACTAGATGTTGATTGTGAATTTCGAGCATTTCCGTCTGCTGCAGTAGAAGACGCACTATTACCTTGACCTTCTTGTTGTGCGGCGCTTCTTCCTGCCATAGCCGCAAAAAAAGCCGCTGCGCGAGAGGCCATTGACTGATCTGCATTATCTTCTGGATCATTATTTTCCGAGTCTATAACTGTGGCATCTCTAGGTGGACCTGCAGAAGGTGGAGGTCCTGTTGCATGAGGTGTCGGACTAGAACTTCTATTCTGGTTACGAACTGGCATACCAGCCGCTGCCTGTGGGGCCGCTGCTTGTGGTGGCCTTGACGTTGGGGCATTACGCGAACCTGCCGCTCCACCTGGCACCCCCATGCCCTCTTTGATGTAGCCGGTGGGGATGTAGCTGCTGCTTGGAGAGGAAAATTGACCCGCAGAGGAAGCATTCGTCGGAACACCCATCGGAACGCCTTGCCCACCACCTCCAATGACTGGCTGTCCTAGCACAAAAATCGGTGCGGCTGCTCCGGCACCTCCTCTAGAAGAGGGATTCACATTCTCCTGATCACGATCACGACGAGAGCGACCATTTGATGTTCCCGTATTTCTTGCCCCACCTGAAGAACTGTTCCTTCTTCCTCTGCCATTAAATACATCCGCATGCTCCTCACCTTCCGTATCAGAGCTGATATAAGTAACACTGGTATTACTCGAACTCAAATCGTCCCTGTAGTCTTCATTAACTGTGTCAGGAGGAATCACGACATTGATGTTCGCAGGGCTGTTGCGACGTCTTGGCAAGACATTGGGTTCTGCGGGATGCGCGCTTGCAGGACTGGCGGGTGCATCGGGAGGTTCGTCGAAGCCATTCTCTTCGTCATTCTCAGGATTCGCTTCTCCCTCACCTGATGTTCTTCCGTTTCTGCTGGTCTGTAGTCCTCCCTTCTTACTGCCTTTACCAGCCAGTGACCTCTTCACCAAACTGACGACCTCACGAGCCCGCTTGCAGCTGATGCCGCCACTTGTGTACAGGTAACGGCCCCAATAAAGACCGAGTAACAAGGCTGGGATAGCAGCAGCTGTGATGAGGATCACTGGAGAAACTTGATTCGGATCTCCAAGTAATTCATCCCCACCAGCTCGATTCGCACCTGGTTCCTGAATAGCTACTACATTCGAAACTCTATTGGAATCATCATCATCATCATCATCATCGTCTTCATCCGATGTTGACGGTACCAGACCTGTGAAAACAACTTCTGCTTCCTCATCGTCGTCGTCACTAGAAGAGGCATCAGTAGCATCAACTGCTACACTACCGTCACTGGTCGTACCTCCACCAATGGATCCTCCATTCGACACAGTAATCGCGTTTTTCAATGCTTGACATTCTTGGAAGCACACTTTTTCCAATTCCGCACTACAGGTACTGCCTGCTAAATTCTGCACACCTGAACAATCAGCGACGGATGTAGAAAGCACGCCAGTGACCTGCATGTTAGGAATCGATGTTACAGTGGCCAATTTCCCCGTCAACAATGTCTGCAAAGTTGCAGGAGAACTAGCTTCCATCTTAGTGGCTAGCTTATCAGGTTCTGACGTGAGGATCTCATATATGCAGATCACTTCCACCGCAGTAGAGGCTAGAAGTCTCTTATGGGAAGAATCGTATCCCTTGTCGCCGCCCTTTTTGTCTTTAGAGAGCCAGGAATAATCCTTCGAGGGCGAATAAAAATCCTTAGAACTACCTCCATGCGAAGAGGAACTTTTCTTCTCTTTATCCTTAGTTCCATGTCCTCCATCAGGGCCTTTCTGCTCATAGTTTGAAGCGGAGGACTCCTTGCTTCCATCTTTCTTCTTGTCAGATGAAGAATCGTAGTCATCTTTCTTGTAGTCTTGATCAGACTTGTCATCGCCATGCTCATCTGGTTTTTTCGACTTGTAAAAATCGCCTCTCTCTTTGCCTGACGCTTTCTCGTCACCTTTGCCTTTGCCGGAACCCTTTTCACTATCCTGGCCTTTATCGGACCACGTATCGTGGGAATGATCTTCCGAAGTCTTGTTGCCAGAAAAGCCAGGAGGTGGCTTCTTCCCCTCTGCCGGACGCTTCATATCTTCTTTATCGAAAGTCATATTACCGGAAAACCCTGGCGGCTTTTTGCCTTGGAGCTTCTTTCCATCATCTTTTCGTGTCTTATTCTTACCAAACTCATCTTGAACAAAATGCTCAGCGCGTGGCGGTGGCTTCATCTTGTTCTTGTCATCCTTCCATCCTTCCTTCTTCTTGGCGTTCATCCGAGTTTCGTTACTACCCTTGCCATCGACGCCTCTCCACCAAGTACTATTCTTGCCTCCACTCTTTGTCTTATTTCCACCAGGAGGAGAGGACATACCTCCATTCTTCTGATCCTTCTTCCAGTATTTTTTCCATTCCTCTGTACGTCGCTTTTGCCGCTGCTCATACCACGCCCTAGCATGTCCCTCTGGATCGTTGCTGAAAGGCACAAGCCACATCATCTTCAAGTCACTCAACGCTTCTACAGTGTACAGATGATGCTCTCCTGTTGCATTCTTGGAGTCGGCTGAGGTAGATGGTACAGTGTCAGTGCTGCCACTGCTTCCCATCATGTAGTTGTTACCACTAGTAGATGATGTCGAGGAAAGCTGCTGCATGCCTGAGCCTGAGGTGGACGATAACGACATAGAAGAAGTGCCACTTAATGTCGACAAGCTTCTAGACTTTGGAGTCGTATCACGACGAGCATCCTCCTCCAGATGATTCAACATCAACTCCCTCTCAGCAAGCAGTTGTCGTGACACGCTTCTAGGCGCCACTTCGAATTCGTTGATGACAACGTCCGAGAGAACAACTCTGTACTGTTCGGCGAAAGCATTGCGAAAGGACCCCACAACCTCAGGATTGGCAAGCAATTCCACACCCGTCGTGCCCTCTGGCAACGACATAGCAAAAGATGCGACGGCTTTAACTTTAGGCACAGAAGCAACATTATCCGGCGCACTGGGAGGACCTTTTTTCAATTGCGCATTCGGGTCTAGTGTTGTTGTGCTCGTAGTAGTCCCTGGTGGCAGAGTTGTACTCGTCCTCGGCACAGACGTAGACGCAGTTGAAGGAACATTAGTGGTCATTGGAGGTAGATCTGAAGTCGTCGCAGCCTCCGACGAAGCAAAGAGCCCTCCAGTCACAATGTTTCCCAGGGTAGGAACCGTCGTAGTACTCGATGTGCTCGTCATGATAATTGCAACAGTAGTTGCAGCGTCTGTAGTGGATGTAGTCGGCTCTAACGTCGTTGTAGTCGGCTCTAACGTCGTCGTAGTCGGCTCTAACGTCGTTGTAGTCGGCTCTAACGTCGTTGTAGTCGGCTCTAACGTCGTTGTAGTCGGCTCTAAAGTTGTTGTAGTCGGCTCTAAAGTTGTTGTAGTCGGCTCTAACGTCGTTGTAGTCGGTGGCAACGTCGTCGGGGCTAAGGTTGTAGTAGTCGGTGGCCACGTCGTCGGGTCTAAGGTTGTAGTAGTCGGCGGCAGTGTTGTCGGTACTGCAGTGGTAGTAGTCGGTGGCAGTGTTGTCGGTACTGCAGTGGTAGTAGTCGGTGGCAGCGTTGTCGGAACTGCCGTGGCAGGAGTCGGTGGCAGCGTTGTCGGCACTGCCGTGGTAGTAGTCGGTGGCAACGTCGTCGGTACTGCAGTGGTAGTAGTCGGTGGCAGCGTTGTCGGAACTGCCGTGGTAGGAGTCGGTGGCAGTGTTGTCGGTACTGCCGTGGTAGTAGTCGGTTGCAGCGTTGTCGGAACTGCCGTGGTAGTAGTCGGTGGCAGCGTTGTCGGTACTGCCGCGGTAGTAGTTGCCGGCAGCGTCGTCGGCGCTTCTGTAGTGGTAGTTGCCGGCAGCGTCGTCGGCGCTTCTGTAGTTGTAGTTGCCGGCAGCGTCGTCGGCCCTGCTGTCGTAGTGGTTGGCGACAACGTAGTAGGCACTGCTGTCGTAGTGGTTGGCGACAACGTAGTAAGCACTGCTGCAGCAGTGGTTGGCGGCAACGTGGTCGGCACTGCTGTAGTAGTGGTTGCCGGCAGCGTCGTCGGCGCTTCTGTAGTGGTAGTTGCCGGCAGCGTCGTCGGCACTGCTGTAGTAGTGGTTGGCGGCAACGTGGTCGGCACTGCTGTAGTAGTGGTTGGCGGCAACGTGGTCGGCACCAACGTTGTAGTCGTCGGCACTAAAGTTGTCGTCGTCGGCACTAAAGTTGTACTCGTCGGCACTAAAGTTGTCGTCGTCGGCACTAAAGTTGTCGTCGTCGGCACTAAAGTTGTCGTCGTCGGCACTAAAGTTGTCGTCGTCGGCTCCAACGTTGTAGGCGGGCTAGCCGTAGTGACCGGTTGGACCGCACATCCATCACTACTACCACTACCACTTAATCCTCCCACGACCGCGCTCAATGACTTCAACCTACAGGTTGTTCCGTGGCCACTACTTTCGCTCCATTCCGTATTACTTTTTGTAAATGCGCCACTCACTGACGGTGCTGCGCCACAACAGTAGGTTGACCACAAATCTGTGCCTACTTTTTCGATGGCTTCCACTTTTTCAGTCACAAACGCTTCACTGATGCCACTTGCCGTGACAGAATCTGAGGCCACAGCTGCTTCACGATATGGCTGTGCATCTAAAACTTTCCCAACTATCGAATCGTACAAAGCGTACATCTGTGTTCTCGCAGCTTCAGTTGCGTTTTTGCTTCTTTCTGAACCACCTGGCCCTTCAATCGTTGCAAACTGCAGAAGCACTTCCAATCGATCTTTCACCCCCACTTCTCTAGACACACTGAGTCCAAACCTTTGGTTCAGGTTTCCTTGGACCACTTGCCTCCACTCGGCTTCGAAGTCGCTAAGAGTTTGTGGGCAACCCCCACATAGACATTCGTATTCGTCGATCACCTGTACCCACCAGACTTGCGAAGAGTCACAAAACCTAGGACACCACTGATTCCCCGCACTCGGATATGACACGTCAGTGCGCACACAGCAACCTCCAATGTCCGGCTTGCGGAAGCCAGAACCGCCAGTACCGGAGTCTGATGCGACGACATCTTCGGAAGTTCGGGGAGGGCCATCGCAGGTGTAGGGGAACTTTTTCAGCTCTGTGTAGGGACACTTCCGATAGCCTCCACATGGTGACCAGCTGTTCAAGCAGGTCGTCGAACAAGCAAACGATGCTTGCTCAATGGACGAGCAGAGACTCGGACACAACGTATCGATACATTGTGTCGCGGTAGCAGTCGCGCAATTTGCATCACGCGTAGCTGGGACACAGGAATCATTCTCGTTGCAGATGTCGGCTAAATCCGAGTCGGTGCAGCAATCAAAACGTTCCAAGCCAGCAGCAACGTCTTGTTCGCAAATGCAGATCTGAGAGGCACGAGCCTGTTCCCATCTTGTCGCCTGAGGGTGGTTTCGCACACAGGCGCGCCATCCAAGCAACTCATCCGACTGGAGGAAAGCGTCCCAGTTACAGCTTTCACTTTGCAAGAGACGGCCATTCTTGATATTCTTACGCTGACGTCGTTTCTTCTCCTTGTGATTGTGGAAGACGTCTTTTAATGTCGCCACAGCGTTGCTAGATGAGGCCGAAGAGCCTGCATGATTCTTCTTTCGATTTCTATTATCCACCAGGAGGTTATTTTCGTATAGAATATTGAGGACCTTCTCCTTAGCACTTAGGACCTTCTCCTCTAATGGGTTAGTGTCTTGTCCGCGGACTGTCCTAAAATAGAGTGAGAGACACACCCAACATCGTGAGATGAGGTAGACGTGGAAATGCTTGGGAAACAACATCATCGTGATCACACGGGGTCATTAATCACGCATCAACGGATTTCTTTCAAGACGAATTGTACCCAATTCCCACAAATCTTGATAAGGAAAATGTATAGCAAGCAAGTCAGAAAACCAAGGCTGCATATGGCTCTCAAATACGATGGTGGATATCCTTGTTCCCACCATGGGGAACCTCGTGATGAGTTTAGACTAATTATACCATTTTTGCTTCATGCTATGAGCACAAACAACATTTATGGTTCTTGAACAAATACATTTCAACACAATGGTCTACTTCAAAAAATCCACCAAAAACAGGCACGTCCACCACTCGGCCCCAATGGATTCTGTACATTTTTGGGGAAAACAGATTGGAAGCAGGACTGAAAAATGTTAACCTCCACTACTCTCTCTCTCTCTCCCTAAATACTTTGGTCTCTCACTCAACCTGAATTTATTTTCACCAGCAGAACATATCGCTTTTCTCAACAGCAGTAATACAGCAGAATACTACTCACAGACGGAGTTAACACTCTGTGTGCTCAAAGTTTTTCGCGCTATGGTATAGAAACAGTTCTCAGATGAACAAGCGCCCGAACTTTTTCCCTCATTCGTAGGTTTGATAATTCACCTTGCTCTCAGTCAGAGATCTCGTTAGCTTTGCAGTTGCACTTTACTGGATAATACTGATAAGATGTAAGCTTGCTCCAAATATCGTTTTTTCTTTGCGTGTGTCTAGAGCTATACAGTGTCAAGAATTGAAGAAAGGTTTTACGTGTAACTATGCAAATCCGATTCAAAAATTAAGTCTAGAATACAGGTCTAGCATACAGTGCCCAGAGCCCTGTGATGAAAGCCCTCTACAATAAATCTACAGTATAAGTATAACGTGGTATGGTCGTTCTCTGTAGTAATTATACAAACGACGTGCTAGTTCTTCTAAGTACTTCTTGAGTTATGCTTATGCTTTTGTTAGAAGATGTCTACTTTTAGGAAGATCATATGATGGTTCAGCTGTAGCGATATTAGACTGTTCTCAGATTGGTAATGCCTATGTTGATGTTCCAAATGAGGAAATAAAACTGTGATGATCGAATATTTGATAGTCTTACTTTGTGTGTACTTCGTGTTTGCGAATTTCCCAAACTATAAGATACAAAAATGTCAAATATTTAGCTATGCTTAAGTAACATCCCTGAAGGTAGCGATTCGGCTTAAGTACGTGGATTTAAGAGTAACAACAGATGAAAGACTTTACGTTTACATTTTTTTGATGCAACATCAGCACAAGATGATAGTGTACAGCTACTAGTAACGATGATGAGGAGCCTAAGCATCACCTCAATATCTTCCAAATTTCACAACTAGGTGTCTAGCGCCCTCCCTAACCTAAGATAACAACGACACTCTCGCCGTCGATTTCGGTGGCGTTCCGATGGTACTGTAAGCGCCATACTGGTCTCCTCCCGAGTACAGACCAGTTTCCGTATAGAAGTTCATCGGCGGCGAATCTACACTATCCCCTAGTCTTCGTAGAACCGGCAAAGCTTCCTCCAAAAAGCCTTCGTCTTCCTCGAGGTGGCGAGGAAGGCCCATCCGGGCGTCATCCTGTTGAGGGCTCGAAGAACTATGCTGGCTTTTCCTCTTTCCACCCCATCGCTTGTCGTAGTGAGCTGCGTACTTCTGGAGAGTGCCAGCCATCATGTCGAAGGCCGTTCTGACAGGCGTCTTAGGTTCCTTCAGAGGTCGCAATTTCGGTTTCGGACGGTTGGCGATTGGCATTAGAAGAAGAAATCTAAACTTTCATGACTATGGATGGAACTACGAGAGGAAAAAGTTACATCAGTCACGATCTATTCAGATTCGTGAGCATTAGGGGAGCGGGACGAGAGGAACATAGGATATTAGATGTCAACATACTTTTTACAGTATTATAGTCCCATTATAGGTGGCAGAGAATCAGATTGACAACTACCTAGAGCGTTGAAACCGATAATTCCAAACGAGAACCACAACAGCAATCCATAACTTGACTACTTCGTATTCCAGTTGCTCTCGTTTTTTCGGCGTCTTGTCGTCCTTCGGAAAAGCACGTGCAAACGAATCCGGTTTGCGATCGTATAACAACTGCGTTGCTTCCTTATCGGTATACGGCATCGCCGGAACTGGGATTTGACTGCTAGCGGATACGCGCATCTTTTCCGTCTTAGAGCGATGACTACTTGGATTTGAAAGATAGCATGTGACCACGAGGACAGTTAGGACCACGACCACAACAAGCCATAATCTTACTACTCCCCGCACCCTCTCCTGCAACAATGGTTGCCTTCTTCTTACATGTCCGAACCGGGCTTAGTGTCTCCTCGGGTTCCCCAGATAGTGCACCCTCAGCCTCCGCATTTGCTAGTCCACGTTCCGCTGCTTCCTTCGCAGCAGCCTCCGCCGCCATACCCTCTAGTGGGAACCGCTTGTAAGGTAGCTCGATTCGCATCGGGAATGGCACCTCTCTTAGTCGACCAATTGTGGCGTCGGTCACGAGCATGTCTTTCGGAGACAACTCTGATTCAGCTGCACTCTGGTTCACGATAGTAGCGATCTCACCCTCTGCGACACCTGTCTGATGACCCTCAAGAACTTCAGGACTCGGTGTGTGCGCCCGCTGTTGTTCGTCTCCAGTTGTACCTCCAGCAAGACTTCTACTAGATTAGAGTTGGCAAAAATCCATCTTGGGGAGCATCAATCTTGGTGCCCGTTCTCCCTTCCAACCGGGAGCAAGAAGATGCTCGGGAAGACGAATTCCCTCAAGCCTTAACTAGAAGAAAACCCCTCTTTTGAAGTCTTGGTTGGTCCAGCGACTTGTTTTGCTCGCACCGGACCATCTGACAATGGAATGTCAACGACTTCCGCTGCAGCACTGAGACGCTGCTTTGAACCTGTAGTGGTTCTTGACTCGGTCTTTGGATTGCCTCCAAACGGTGCTAATAGGCTGTTGTTGATGTCGGGTAGTTTATCGATCGGTGGAAAGATTAGCAAAGTGGTTGTTGTACTCACTATTCTCGGGACCACTTTCTTACATGCAAAAAAAATCCAGCCTATTGTTCTATGTGGTAACTAACGTGCCTCTTGTATCTGGTTGTAATGATGTGCCTCCCTATTCTTGTATCTGGTAATGCAGGAAAAAACCCTCACATTCGAAATTCTAAATCTAGAAGTTGCAAGTAGCCTTAACAGAACAACTTTTTCTCCTGGAACCTCCGCTAGCCATTTTGCATATCGCTTATGTGACTGTTCACGCCACGTCACGGTCTGCTTTGGTGGGCCATGAGCGCATGAAATTTTGTACGTCCGTCCACCCGCTTGCACTGCTCTCACATCGTCACCTGAGGGTAAGAAGGTGGAGGGATCCTACATAGCGTATGATCTGCGGTACAATTTTCTTACGGCTTCCCCAAATTTGCATGTCTTTCACCGAGTATCCTAGAGCACTTTGTGGGTGTGGCGGTGTGGGTGTGGTGGTGTGGGTGTAGAACAAACAGCTCTACGATGGACCTTGTTGAGATAGATTCGCGCAGTTTCATTCTAAAAACTCTCGGAATTTCGCGGTGTTCTCCTGGAGAGGGATCTTTCACGAAAACGAAACAAAGAACTCGAGTTGAGGAGTAGATCAGTGCATCGAAGACAATTATATGTATGAAGAGCAGCTGTACGTTCCGGCACGACGCACACGAAGGTTTGCGTGAGCCACACAGATTCTAAGTCTCCCATGGCAAGCTTGAACTGATAGACGCCCTGTGGAACCGTTAGTGCTGGATTTAATCGCAACCGCATCTCGAAACTGTCTCCGGGTGCGATAACACCCTCGCGATGCGGCATGACGGAGAAGCTGTGGTGGTGATTGAAAAATTCATCCAGAAGTGGTCACCTCTTTTTTTCATAGATCATAGGTGATGAAATTCATTTTTCGCCTCATCAGAGACAACTTTTTTCTACAGGAGTTGTAAAACAGCGCCAAAAGAAAACTCTCCTTCTATATTTGAAAGTACTATTCCGGTTTGCTTTTGCAGGTGAGCCGCCACACCATTTTGTAATGGGATTCGTTCTTGATTGGTATCCTAGCAACATCTGTTGCCGTCATCAGAATGTAACTTCTGCCAGTGATAGCATCCGTGGCGTCACCATCTTCATCAGAAGCTGCGTCTGCGCTTCTGCCTCGCCTTTTCTGCTTTTTCAGTGGGGATTTGTACACTGCCTCACCCTTTGTATCGCCTCCGGGAGGGATGAAGGGAGACAGGATGATGGAACAAGAAAGAGTTGTAATAAATTTGTACACTCTGAGTCTATTAAGATGATGAAAGACAGTAGAGTAGGAAATGGAAGACTGATTAATTCATGATGTCAGGAATCATGATCTATAAGGGAGCATTTCACGTCTACTTGCAATGCATCAATTTCCTTCTTCGTAAAGCTGTCGCCTCCTCCATCTCCACCTTGACGGTCTTCCCTATCGACTAAAAGTTCACTTGGCTGGGCGACGCCTAGGCCATCCGCAAGCCGCTTCCTATGCGCTGGCGAAGGATCATCCATCGATCCCTGCAATTTAGCTGGATCGTCTCCGGTTCGGGACTTAGAGAAAAAGAAAGGTCAGGCAAGAACTTATCTACTACTAATAAAGATATTATAAACAAAAAGAACGACGTGCATATAAAAACGATGACTCAGTAGCGTTGGTATACAACTCACATCCATCTACGGTGCTGAGCACTGCTTTATATATGCAACGCACTTGACAACAACACATTGTCGACACCTTCATCAAACAACATCATAAGACTAGGCTTGGCAGCACCATCAATTCGTGGCAACGTCGTAGTTTTCTTCTTCTTGTCGCGAGGCTTAGTGGCAGGCATACTTGCTGACCGTCTCTCCATCAGAAACACTCGATCAATAGGCGGCTCCACTGGCAAATCCACTATGACAGAAGTGTTTTGAGGCTTGTGTTGTGACTCTTCTGCCGCATCTGGTTTGCTATCTTCCACAGCATCTTCACGGGAACCATTTTCGGTGTGCCTGGGGAGTAAAGCGTAATGATGTGAAGGATTCCTCTGAATATGGTGAAGCGAGGACCTCAGCATCCCCAAACACTGCTGGGGGAGTGCAATCTATCATGTTGTAACTCAGAAGTTGTGCCAGTAGTACAAATCTCTACATACAACAAACAACGAACTAATGAGCAACGTTGCAGTAAATCAAAGCAAATACTGCGTCCTCGGATCCAGCAACAGCATTGGTGCGTGGACACTCTTGCTTGACGCTCCCTGAGTTACGAAACTGGTCCGCATGCCTTTAGGGCTGCGAAAATTTCCTCGTCCTCGTGGACCGGCTGCGAGTGATAAGGTTCGATTCAGAAAATCCTCCATTTTCATGGCCGCTGTGCGAGGACTGCTCGACGCTATCTGCGGATACAGCGGATATTGGCGAGCGCGATAGTAATACTTTCCTTTCTTGTTAGAGTTTAGCGGAAATTCTACAGCTTTTCTTTGCTGAATGGGGGTCATGATTCAGAGAAGGACGCCTTAGTATTGACCAGTCTAAAGTCTAGCAACTTTATTCTAATAGTACATCCTAGGTCGATGAAGCACATATTAAAACTTCCTTCGTCTCTTGTAGAAAACTGACATTTTCGCCTTAGCTTTGCTGCCAAAATCTTCGCCTGTCGCATTTTCAAACGGACTCTCCAGGTTGTGCAGATCCGCACCACGTGCATCCTGGGGGAAAATCGATAGAATGAGTCTTTCAGGAATAGTGCAAACAATCGAAGAGTCGTAGTTTATCTCAAACAATAGAAAAACAGTAGTTTATCTCAAACAATAGAAAAACCACCTTCAGAAATACGTGCGTCCCTGTCCAAGCATGACGAACATCAAGCATGACGATGATGATGACAGTTGAATCGGATAGGACCTACGACTTCCTGGAGCATCATAATTTTACCTGCGTCCACACATGAATTCCCGCATCCTCGTTAACCACTTCTGGAAACTCTTCTTTGTGGTGTTGACTCCTCGTATATTCCCCTTTCGCTCGGTCTAAACTCCCGATTCGTTAGAGGAGTCGGACGTGTTGAGTCGTAACAAGGTAAGGAACGTGACTGTTGCGGATGATGATGTTAGTCGATTCGGATTCGGACGTGACTGTTCCTAATTACCAATATTGGCAGAGTGGGCATGTTGTAGAGGATCAATGAAGACATAAATACTTCTCTACTAGCGACAATTTCGACAACAACAATTTTCAATTTACTAGAGGAGCAGCTCTCGTGCATTGAAAAGAGCTAAAGCGTAATAAGTATAGGGCTAACAGTATGTATTAAGTATAGAACGCAATCCTCCTCTTAACTCCTCCTTGGAAATTTTGGCATGCTCAGCGCGGGCGCACGCCCTGCTGCCGGGATCGGCACATAATCGACCTTGTGTTTGGACGACAGGTCCTGCCGGAGCTTCTGTACCTCACCACGCGTGTGCGCATCCTGGATCAGGAAAAACCTGTCCAGCCTTTCGGTACCGCTAAACATCATACAACTTGTTCTGGCCCTAGGTGTATAGCTAGGTGTAGGTGTAAATCCGACCTTTCTGCTGGTGTACCACTAAAGATCATACAACTTCTACTAGTACCTGTCCGACCTTTCTGCTGGTGTACCACCAAAGCCAAACATCATACTACTTAATACCCTGTACTACCACTAAACATCATACAACTTCAACTTCTGGGTCGAGGTGTAACAAGTGTACTTGTTTCATCTTCTACTACTCAAAATCCTGTTGTGATTGATCCCCTGGATCCGAGTCCCTGGATCCGAGACGAGAGTAGTCGAAAAGAATTGGACGAGGAGATGTTCCTGAGAATTGAGTGAGTGATCGAGTAAGTGTGTAGGCTGCTTGATGATGATGATGATGATAATGATTGTACCTACTCTAGAGGTGTTGTACTACTAATTTGTTTATCCTTTGCACTTGATTGAAAGTCTCAGTTTGTTAACAATCCAACGTACAACTACACAGAAGCGAATTTAGCTTTCGACTATAGAAGAGGGAGGTCTACTAGTATCAAACGATGAAAGCGGTACTCTAGTGAGGCGGATGATCTTTCCTCAACACCGACCGGAGCAGACAGTTTACAGACCTTTCTTGCAGCTCATACTGGGTAGGTCATTCGACGTTTTCTTGCTCTGCTCCTATGAAGCTGATACTTGGATCATGTCGACCGCAGACAGAAGATCTCTCTATAACATTAGAGAAACTCATCACCGATTTTTACCGACACAGTTGCATCATGGGCTTGAAAACCACGACAGATAATTTGTGTGAGGTTGGTTTCGAGGAATCGTGCGGCGGATCTTTCAGAACTCAATTAAGAGAAAAATATCTCGTTTCTTCATTCATAAACTTGATAAACTGGACGCTCGTTTTCTCACTTGACAGAAGTTTATATTGTCGCTCTGGATGGGTCACACGCGCATTCCTGCAAGCAGTCTCACGCTAGACACCCGCTCTTGACAGATCATCAAAGACCAGAACAGCAGAATTATATTATAGCTTTTTCCTCAACTACAACATCAAAGCACCTTCTAAATCTAATTCTTCGACGAGATTGATTGCTCCAAATATTCATCTAAATCCTTGAGGCGGTGCCATTGATTCTCACTCGCTTCCCATGATATTTGGCCACTCGCACTGGCATCCCTTTGATCAATACACCTGCCGCGCAAAGTGGATGCTTCCTGATGAAGATAACTCAACTTCAAAGTAACTATAATTTTCTGCAATGCTGGCAGCGGAGGACTCAAAAAATCTAGAACTTATAATAAATATATATGTAAGGATTGAGTTTGAGATCACTGCTCTACTAATCCACCAACGCTGCTGCAGCCGGGAGGAGCCATTTTCTATAGAGAAAAACAGGTTTAGCAAAACAAGAGAGGTAACAACAACATGAAAAAGAAATCATCTTCTTATTCTTTCGCACATGTATTCTCGGAGTCACGGATCGCCACATCCACTAGGACCTATACTTCAAGTAAGTCCACTCCTAATGCGGCAGCAAATGCAGGGTCGGCCTCTGGATTTGGCTCCGGCGATGACGAGTCCGAGTCCGAGTCTCCTTCATCTCCGGGTCCGGCTAAGAACCGAGCAGAGGACCTGCGCGGAGAAGTCCCAATCTCCCACCTTTCGGCAATCTTTCCTGCTTCTGCCGTCGGTGGTTTAAAACGTTTGCAAATCTTGTTGCGTACACTTTTATGTACCAGCGACTTCAAACCATCCTCCCGAATCGTGAAAAAAAACGTCAGCATCCTGTTCGCATAGGTCTCAGTCTCCCATCCCTTAGGGAGTTCGAGCGGCTTGGGCTTCGGTTTGGGTGCTGGCGAAGTATTCTCGTTCTTGCACCACGCCGAATCAATCTCGACCGTGCCGTAATCCTTGAAAGCCTTCACTGTATATTCCTGGAAACGGCCAGAAAGGTTGGAGTACGTGCGAACAATGTCGATCATCGAGTAGAAAAAGACGAACCGCAATTGCCCTGTTCCTCCGATGTGGTCAATTTGCATCGCCGGCGGCCTTCCGTCCTTTTCCTCCGCAAACGGACGCTTGATACAGTCTAGGAGTGGTAGCGCCGTCGTCTGTTTTTCTGTTCCCTGGAGAAAGCGGGGCTCGTCTTCCCCTTCGGTGCTGCGAGCCTGCCATCGCACACAAAGCTTTTCGCTGTTTTCTTGTCCCACGTCGAGGCTGAGCTCCACCATGTTCAACCCGGTTGTCCTGGGCGAAGGCATTTTTCGCTGAATGTTGCCAGACCCGTCGTCCCCGTTGTAGTTCACGAAAATTTCATTCGGAGGGACGCAGTTACTACCGTTGCTGCCCTCAGAATTATTGCCGCTGCAGAGGAGGACGAGCTGACCAAAGAGGGAGTAGTCAGTCCGATCATTCTTCGCTAGATACGCAACGGTCGCGACCAAGCTCTTCAAGAAAGATGCCCACGCGGAAGAAGTAGCGGCGAGAGGATGTTCGGAATTCTGCAACATCGAGCGGAAGAAGTGGTCCCGCGCCTCCGGCCGTTTCTGCAGGGCCTTCCCCTTTGGCGCGACCAGAACTCCGAAGTCGAGGATTTTCTCACATTTTCCTGCCGTGTCACTTGTAGTTACGTGCTTTACAAATCTCGACCGCTCCTCCTCGCGCTCGATCCATTTGCCCTGCGAGTCAGTGTCAGGACACTGCTGCTTTCGTGTTTCTCGCAGCTCCCCTTTCAAGTCGAAGTCGAGTAACACCTTTCCCGCGAAGGGGCCGCTGTTATTGATCATCAGCACGAACCCATGCGCACCCAACTCCCGCTTGTAGTCCTCCCACTTGGGCTGGACGAAGAGTGGAATTTTGGATAGCGCAACTGGGAATTGTCCCTCGTGCTTCCTGAACGAGTCGTGGAACAACTGCTTCACCTGCGGAACCTCACGCGGCTCGACACTCTTGGCGATGAAGAAGTTTGGTAGAACTGTTTCCTTTCCTACTCCTTCTTCTATTACGAGGTCGACCCCAAACATTTTGGACCCGGATGCGCCGCCAGAAAATTCGCGGACCCTCCGCGTGGTCCCTGGCTTAAATGTTTTAAAGTAGCTTTCGAGGATCCATCCGAGCGTTATCGGCGTGTGTGTGTCGGTGTCGGTCGAAGACCTGGCGCCGGAGGCGGAGAGGGGAAGGACGTTCGGCACCATCTTTTTCCACGCTTCATCACTGGCGTACATGTGGATGTCGCCAATCCATGAGCAGGGGACTTCTTCGTTGGCGGATGAGAAGGTGTTAGAAAATGCGTAAGGCGTCTCGTGCGAAACAGGACCGAAAGTGCCACCTGCATCCAACCCACCCTTGCCCAACGGCAACGACAAGCATTCTCCGAGAATTCCTAGTGCACTTTCCATGTAAACCGCCGCGTCCTCCGCCGCCATTTCACGAAGCTTCGACCACGCAGTAGAGCCGGTTTCGGAACCGAATCTGCCTTGTCCACTGGTTCGGGCTCCCTCCTCAACATCCTCCGCCATTTCATGATCCAACTTCACGTAGCCATCCACAACAGACTGAAGCTCTGCGCGCAAGTCTTCAATCCCTCTTGTTGTATTTTCTAGAAGATCCTCCGCCAAATCTTTCGAGAGTGCTGATGCTAATATTTGTTCATTGTTATTGCAGCTCTGCGAAACAATATCAAGGCGCTCGCGCAGCGCGTTAGCTGTGTTCTCGATATTCAGGGGTTTCTGGGCTTTCTCCGTCCTCGCGGCAGCCTCTCTCAATCGCGGTTCGATACGATGTTGCACAAAGTCTTTAGTAGATTGAAGAATCTCTTTCAAATCTCGAACTTGTCCTTCTAATTCACCACGCAAACGACTCGCCTTCTCGTTTGACTTAACAAAAGCTTCGCGCAGCATCGAAGCTTCTGCTTCCATCTCTTCCAACCGTTGGCTCTCTCGCTTCGCGGCATCGAAAGCCGCTACCAACTGCTCTTCTTGTCTAGTCAAATCCCCCCGCCGGTTTTTCAGCTGTGTAACAAATTCTTCAAGTCTTGCTGCCTCCTGTCGAATCCTTTCGGCCTCCCGCTCTTTGGCTGCCAAATCGCCCCGTACGTTATTTTCCATTTCTTTGACTTTCTCTTCAAGTTCATGGAGGTGTCGCTTCCGGTTTTCTACCTCCGACCGCAGCCGAGCCGCTCCACCTGCTTCGATAGTCAAGGCCTCCTGCCGGTTTTTCAGCTGTGTAACAAATTCTTCAAGTCTTGCTGCCTCCTGTCGAATCCTTTCGGCCTCCCGCTCTTTGGCTGCCAAATCGCCCCGCACGTTATTTTCCATTTCTTTGACTTTCTCTTCAAGTTCATGGAGGTGTCGCTTCCGGTTTTCTACCTCCGACCGCCGCCGAGCCGCTTCGTCCGCTTCGACAGTCAAGGCCCCCCGCCGGGTTCTCAGCTGTGTAACAAAGCCTTCAAAATCTGCTGTCTCCTCATGCTTCAACCGCTCGATAGCCTTGTTCCTGGCAGCCAGTTCACTCTTAGCGCCAGGCTCTGCTGCCTCTCGTTTGTCAGCCAGTTCTCGAGAATAATCCTTTCCACTTCCCGGGAGACCCTCCGCGAGGGAAAGCCCAGAGGCAACGACCACCGTACTGGAGGCGGCAACAGCGGCACGGGACGCGCAAGATCGCCCACCACCGCGTTGACCACGGCTTCGACCAGAACGTCGGCTGCGGTCGTGATATCCCATTTTTGTAATATTATTTGCTGCCCACAGTCAAAAAAGATCGCAAGCTGTCAGATCTACAATTATTTTTCACAGATGTTGGAAATTTTTGCCTTTTCCAGCTGCAGGTTGTAGTTAAATATCAAATAAAACGATGACGATTGTTTTTGCTTATCAATGTCAGAGGTGTCTGTAGAAGACTGTACTTTGATTCAATCAATCAGATTGTCGAAATGAGTGAGTTCTCAAGAAAAACGTTTTTTTGAAATTTTATGAGGATAGAAGTATGCTCTTGTTTGGCGGGTGGTTGAATCAAATAGCGGCTTCTCGTAATTTTAGGCTTCCACTCAGCATGATTACCTGAAAAGTCTATATATCTATTTGCGAGGTCAAAACAAATCTTTGTATCTATTTGCGAGGTCAAAGAAAATCGAACGAAAGCTTTCAAATTTTCTTGGCTCTTGATGAAAGATAGACAAGGATAGGAGGACGAGGTAGAAGGATTTCCAAAAAGTCCAAGAATTAAAAAGGTTCCAAAAAAAAATAGATAGGTATTAAGCGAGGTTCCAAAAATAGAAAAAGAAGGTTTAGGTTAGCGTTCACGCTGTGGGAAAAATCTCAAAAGTTATGAGCTTTAGGTCAATTTGAATAAACAAGGACGACTAGATGATCAGTAACCAAAACAATTCACGAATCCTCGAACCTTTGATGTGCTCATTTAGCAGTCCTACAAATAGAGAAGCTGTGCTAATGAAGCCTTACTGTCTAAAAAATAATAATAGGAGAGCAGGCTTTATTTATAAGGAAGCTCATAACAGTTTAGGATACCAGTACGATGTAGGGTGGTAGGAGTATGATTGGGAGGTGTAATTCTTTTTACAATCCAGTTAAAAAAATCCGAGGGACGAGTTAATAATCTTAACGGAAGGAAAAAATTTGCCAGAAAGTCTTAGTTTAACGCTAAATCTCAGGTAAAAAGTTCGCTGATGAATGTAGTTCCAAAAAAAGTTCATGGTAAATTTGCCAAAAGTTTGATGTTCTTTAGGTGTGCTTGCTGGTATCCCGTGGGTCGGTATAATCATTGACAACGTCGAGGATGAGCGATTTCTTAGTAATACTTATACCCTGTCTTGATCCTATCTGATCTCCGGGAATGATCTCAGAAGGATAATATCATCACTTTGCTTTTCGCTTGTTGATCAGTTCGCTTTTTTTCAAGGATCTTTGATCTTCTTGAGTGATCGTTTCTCATACTTGATCTTCTTGATCCTTTGCTCTTACATCACTGTTCTTGGTCCTTGTTAATATCTTGATCGATCATATTTCTGCTCGTTTGATCAACATCAAGAAAAATGCAGATCCGTATTTGTGGAAAGAGCGTTGCCGTACAAAATAAATAAGAGCTGAATACGATACCATACAAGAGAGCTCTATATGAAGAAACCAGAACGAGACCAGCTGATAATCAGTTTATATAAGCTATGAGTGTGTAGCTGATGAATTGAATCTATTCGGCGAGCTGCCTAAGATTTCGCTATGAAGGTGCAAATATAAGCCTTGCGGTTCCTAAGATGAAGTAAGATGGAGAGCAAGCAGTCATGTCCCCATGCACTGTGGTATAAAGAATCTGTATTTGAAATATAAATAGTCGTCTCCCCGTGCACGAGTGCACTATGATTAGTCATTCTCTCCCCATGCACTACATTATTGCTGCACGGGGTAAGCCTAGAATTGTAGAGGTGAAAACTAACCGGTTGTTTTACTTAGTGCTTTGAGCGCCGCTGGACCTAAACCTTCACCAAAGGTGAAAGCCAATCAAGATTTGCAGCACACCTCTAAGAGAAAATAATGGGGGACCAGAAGCCTGTTATGGGAGGAGGTTAATTGCATAAGACTCAGATCAGTGAAGTTGTTTCAAAAGCGCCTATGTGAAAATAGTCACTTTGATCAGAATACGAATCGTCATTCACTCTTATTGTTTGCTCTCCCAGACGTATCATCTACAGAACGAATTCGCTCAAACTAGTCGCAAGCCTCAACCACGCAAACGCGCAAGAAAGGAGAGTAAGTAACACAGAACTTCGAAAATCACAGACGAGGAGAAATGTAGGCGGCAGCCTTATTTTTAGTGTGGAACACTGGCAGTCAGAGATAAGAAGCAAGAAAGACATTATGAATCCTTAGTTACGATCTCTCTATGCACGATAATCTTAGTCATCTCCCCATGCACCGTGATAGGAGTCAGTGGTGAACCATAGTCATCTCCCCATGCATTGCGATAGAGGTCAGTGGTGAACCTCGGATGAACATCATTAGTCATCTGCCCATGCACTGTGACAAGAATCTTCAGTCGTCCCCCCGTGCACTATGATACGAATCGGTCGTGAACCGATACATGTCGCTCAGAGTTGAGCCAGCAAGCCTACTAAACCGGAAAGCGGAACTTTTACAGTGTCTGCCGTTTACATCGGTGCCAGCGCGGGCGCACGCCCTGCTGCCGGGATCGGCACATAATCGACCTTGTGTTTGGACGACAGGTCCTGCCGGAGCTTCTGTACCTCACCACGCG